TCCTAGTATTAAATGCAACTTGTAAAATTTAACACTCATATTAAATACACCATATCAATTACTTACTTTAAAAAAAAATTAAACATACACTAAATAAATTTCTCTCTCCCTATCTTTGATCCTTCCTTTTCCAGCAGTCTTCGACCACCAGGCTTCTCTGACCGCTACACTTCTCCGGTGAAATCCCGTCGGCTCCCTTCGGGCACCTGCAAAAATGTACCACTGCACTGATACGTTGTACCACTGCAATTTAAACTCAGATATGAGATTTGTACCAGTGCACTGATATCGCTACCATGCATTGGTACGCTACCAGTGCACTGATACAGATATTCTATCTGCATTTAAGTGCAGTTGTACAAAATTCAGATTTGGAAATAGAAAAGTAAGATATGGAAATTGGAAACTCATTGGATAGAGGCGTGTGGGAGGAAGGCGGAGCAACAACAAGGGATGGTAGCAGCGACGCAGGAGGATGGTGACGGTAGGATGGCGACAACTGGAGAGAGGAGGATAGTGGTGGTGGAAGACGATGAAGGAGGACATCAACATGAGGGATGGTGGCGGCACAAGTTGAAGGCACGGAGGAAGAGGGCGGCGATAGTGATGTCGAAGGATGAGAAGAGCGGTGACGACAGGGAGAGGGAAGCAGAGAGGGGGCGACGGAGGTGGTGGCAGGAGGGGGGGGGGAGGAGAGGGAGATGGCTAGTGTTAGAGGAGGGAGGGAGGGGCAGATTTTGTATTAGTAAGGGATTTTTATTAATAGCAATTATCATTTCTTAAGTTATTTATTATGCCAACAATCTCCATTATTATGCCATTTATTATGCTAAATTTTTTTTTATCTTAATACCAGCCATAAGATATAGTGGAAATGAACGACATCTAGAGGGGGTGTAAAAAACCAGACCCCTTTAATGGTAGTCTTGTTATCCTGCCCCACAGCAACTTAATAGTAATCCAATCTTTGATCCACATGATTATTAGAGCACCTTTAAAATCATTATAGTTATAATTTCTGAACCATCAAGAGAGGGCTACCAAACTTGATCTCAGATCTTTTCCACAATATTAGCAGCATAAGTTTTCAACTGTTTGTACTTGGCCAACTGTTGCGCATATAGCTCCATCTTCGCTTTTGTATCCAACATATTTTTGAATAATGGAGTGTACTGCCGGTTCGACATCTAGCAAGAAAAGGGGAAAAAATGGCGAATCATTAGACAAAGAGACGAGAAAAAGAAATGAGAAAGGAGCTCACCTTGAAGAAACACGAAGAGATGGAAGACAGACGGGCAAATAATATGGGTTTATATACAAAAAATGGTGCAGCCTACTCACAAGTCACAACTACCTCATTAATGTTCCCTCCTACACTACTGCCCCGCCTTTGAGTTCCTCATCACAACCCCCTGCATTAAGCTATAACTGCCCCTGACCATTAAAGCTACGAATAAATACAATGTCTCATATAACTGTCCTTCTGTCCCCTAGGTAGCCACACATCAATGAGAAGAAGAAGAAAAAAAGAATGTAGTAATGTCTTGATCACATGTCATGCCCTAAAAACTTTCCCACATGTCCACACTCGAATAGGGGGTAAAATACTCTGGGTACCGCTAAAATATGAAAATTGAGAGAGCTATACCACTTAAGTAAGAATAGGGCATCAGATACCACTAATGTTATTGAATTGTGCATCCATTTAAAATTCCGTCCATCTACCGTTAAGAAGGACTAATAAATTATTTTTTGGCCAAAATTTTTAAAGTATATATAACAAAAGGGGGGCGGGGGAATCAAAATTTTGTCCGTCTCCAAACCCTCACCGCCCCCACCGTGACTGCGGGTCCATCTTCTCCACCAGTTGACAACATTCTTTCTTCTTCCACACCCATTGAATTTCATATCCTTTCCATTTCGTTTTTTTTTTTTTTGGTTATGAAATGAAAGTGTAGGTATTGACCTAAAAGTTGGACAATGACAACTTAAACTTGTCATTGATAAGAGATTGATAAGAGGAAAGCTTTCTTTAACTCTGAGTTTCCCTGCAAATGGATCCCTTTGTATCATGCAATTCTGGTCAATTTCTCGATTGGAGATCGGGACGGTCGTGGCGATGCTTGTCGAGGAGCTGCACGATGTTGGAGAACTGGTTCGATTCATAAAACTTGGTGATAATTACGGAGAAGGCGATGCAGTCAAGGTGGATTTTGGTCTTTCGCGAAGAGTTGGAGTTTGGTGATAGGATCGTGGAGAAGGTGTAACACCCACGATAGGCAGTGACGGGTTGGAGATGGACGAAAAATTTACTATTTGTTTTAATTTTTTCTTTTTTTTTATATATAGTTTTTACAACTTTGATCACAAATATTTATTCCTTATTGAAGGTAGATGGACGAAATTTTAAATAGATGCACAATTCAATGACATTAGTGGTACCCGACGTCGTATTATTACTTAAGTAGTATAGCTCCCCCAATTCTCATATCTATGTGTTACTCGAGGTATTTTACCAGTGTTATTAAAGCCGAGCCGCTCGGCCCAACCGGTAAAACCGTCACCCGGTCACAAAACCGGCTCGGAACAGTCTAAAAGTCGCTCCAGTTTTATGTAGCGGTTGAAGAGCGTTGGAGGCGGTTAACCGTTCGAGCCGATTGAGCCGCTCGTCCGGTTTATGCCACTCAGCCACTAAATTTAATTAAAAAAAATTGCAGAAAATTGAAAATTGAAATAAACCGAAAACGTCGGCCTCTTAAACTGAATCCTTATTTCCATTTCACAATTTCGAAGGAAAGAGATGAGCTCTGATTAAGAAATGTCCACTATTTATACTGATAACGTTTATTAGGTACCGGTTCTTTAACGGTTTTCAAACGGTCTAATGCCGGTTGGACCACTAAAGTGCGAGCCGTTCGCATTACCGGGTCATGCTCCGGTTCGGTTCTGACAACATTGTATTTTACCCTCGGAATAGAATATGGTAACTAAGGGATTTCTTAGTCACTCTTGATTTTAATTATACTCTAAAGTAGGAGTGAAAATTGGGGCGGGTGTGGATACATTACCCACATTTTGCAGGTATACTCATCCACAAATTTACAATTATGCTATCCACACCCCGCACGGTAGTGGTTAGTGGATAACCACTACCCATTGTGGGTTGGTGCGGGTTGGGTGTGGTTACCCGCACAAATCCATATTTGCAAGCATGGAGTTGAGGCCACCATTAACGTATTAGTTGTTCGTAGCTAGACTATAGTGATATACAATTGTGTTGTTCGTGGAAATATAATTTTGTATATCGATCTTACTCAACATGAAGATTTTTTTCGAGTTTAGTATTCAAATTTTGTGCCAGGGAGCTATGATTTCAGATTCAACTGACTAGGGTGGGATATAACATCTTGTACTTCCTTTCACACAAAAGCAAAAACATACAGATAAAAGTTACCAAAGGTGCCCGCTTTTAATAAATCAATTATTCTCTACTCTCTCGATTATTGTGTTTTATAAACTAAAAATTTCTCACATTAAACTATTTGGGTGCATATTGGATTTTGGTGGCTGCTTTAATTTTTTGGCCTCTCACATTTCACATGCTATTATAATACAAAGTACTATTAGTAAATAAATATAATTAGTTTGGTTATTATGAATTTTGTGGGTTAACCACTGTGGATAGTGGGTAACCACTAACAACAAAAATAATTATTTTACTTCCTAGACCCAACCCACTACCCACAACTTGTGGGTATGATTACCCATAATAGGTGTGGGTTGATGCGGTTTGCGAATTATCCAAAACCTGCAACCCAAACTTCCACCCCCTACTCTAAAGTAGGGCTGGGAATCCGGTCTCAATTTTTTGGTCAAACTCTAAACCGACCAATTACCGGATTCCAATCAATCCAATCCAATTTGCGGTTGTAGTGTGCACAAGCCCGGTCAAATCCGGTTAAAACCGGATAAAAAAAATACTCCAGCGCACCCTAGCCCATCACTGCCCTTACTCTCAGCTAGGGCTGGGCATCCTTCCTGTCCAGATTGAATCAGACCAAATTTAGAGAACCGCGGTCCAATAGTGAAAGATAATTTAGGACCAAGGACCGGACCAATAGTGCATTCGGTCCATTTGGTCTGGTCCATTACGCTGTCGTGACCGACTCGTCGAGATCTCATTTCTTGCGTTGTTGGTCGCAGTTAGGGTAGATCTGGACTGCTTGAAATCGGCGATTGCGGCGACGAGGGTGGGAAATCGGTTGTTGCTCCTCCTACTGGTCGAGCTCGTTTTTGTGCTCAACGGCTTCAAGAGCCCACGCGTCGGGCTTATCTCATGGATAACCTGAACCTCTAACGCACCGGCGACTCCGCCCCAAAAAATCCAGAAATCGAAGAAGATGAGAGAGTATGAGCGAGGGTTTTGTGGAGGTCGGGAAGAAGGAGATTGAGTGGTCGTCGATGTGCATTATGCCGGATTGGATCGGGATTGAATGTAGAGAAGGGTGGCAGCGATGATTGTGTGCAGAAGAAGAAGGAGAAGAATGGGGATGTTCGTGCCTCGGGGAGATCAAGTTTCACCAGTCAGAGATATTTCTTTTTTTATTTTCTTTTATCCCTTAAAAATCAATTAAAAAGGCTTGAATTTTATTTTTCTTAGACTCCACCTAAGCGCTGATGTGGCGCTGGCTGTGATTTCAGTAAAACACTAACGGCAAAACTAACGGAGGTTACACAAATGACATATCGAAACTTACGTAATATAAATGACACTTTCGTTAAAGGTTGGTATTTCTAGTGGTATTAGCCCAATTTTTAAAACAAAGTTGCCACATTTGCTTTCAGTATAGCCGAGGTTCTGGGTAGTGTAACGTGACACACAAAGATGTTATGACAACGTATTTTGTCATTAAGATTGTCATAATCTAGGGATTTTTGGAAAATTGTTCGTCATATTACACGACTATATTTTGTCATAACTGTATATTGTGACGACTACATTTTGTCACAAGTGTTTATTGTGACGATATTATTTTGTCATACCTGCATATATTGAACAATATATTTGTAATGAAAGGTGCCTTATTTGTCTCATGTCTAAAATAACATATAATAAATGCTACAAAGAATTTTTTTTAATTAGCTTGTTGCATCTGCTTCTTGCTGCATGCTCTTGGAGCCTTATATATTGTATCAATCATCTCTTTTAAATAAGACAAACATATTACATAGAGTTCATTTAAAGAATCCAATGGCAAAGTAAACAAACATTAACAACAAAAGAAATAATGTAAAGAAGCTACACGTAAAAAAACAAGCAACTGGAACAACAAAAGAATGCTGCATTGAAATGAATAGAACCAAGCAAATGGGGTAGATCACTCCTACAAATGTCTTTTATCGCCTTGAGCTCCAAGTTGCTACTCCTCGTCTTGCACGCTTTGAGGGGATATTGGACAAACTTGATTCATGCAAAAAAAAGACAACGCACACAATTAGAATTTGGAAAATGCCACTTCTCACTTTTAAGAGGACTCTCTTGAAACAACAATAAAGTATGCCATTTTTTCTTACACCTAGTTTTAAATTAAAGTTACTGAAATTAATGATATGAAGATATCATATCAAAACAACAAAAACTGACTAAATATTAACTGAGATATTGACAACTTAGTACATTAGAAAGGTTTACCTTACATAAATATCAAATGACGAATTCTTTGAGAGCCAATGAGAGTAAGGGATGAGCCACAATAATGTGTAGGCAAATTTTCAAGCTGCAATTAAAATAAAAAATGCCTAGACTTCATCTAAACTCAAGAAAAAGCACAAAAACATGGCTTACGAATCAAACAACTATCAATAAATTACCTTGAGATTCCTAGCTCTCTTAAAGAGTCTATGTATGACTTGGTAAGAGGCTTTACCCTCTAGCTCATCAAGCTGCCATTGGATTCACCATATGAATAATTTAATCAACCGAAACCAATGTTGTCAAAAGTGAACCGGAGTATGACCCGATAACGTGAATGGCTCGGTCTTTAGCGGTCCAACCGACATCAAACCGTTTAAAAACCGTTAGAAAACCGATACCTAATGAATAATCAGTATAAATAGTGGACACTTCTTAATCATGGTAACCATGACTAAATTAGTAAATTACACTCTTAACTATTAACAATTCCAAAACATGAGTACCAAAAGGGGTGAGACGGCCGGAGCAGGGCAGTGCTTGATTCAAGCCTCTGGCGATGGATATCAAAGGAGAAGTTGCGGGAAGAAGGGATGGGGACTGGCGAGCGGGGAACCGGGAGCCGGCAGTGGCTACAAGGACTGGGATGACAACGGGAAGAGACGAGACGGGGAAGTGACTACGGAACGGAGGAGTTGCTACGGGAAGAGGGGACGGGGATGGAGACTGGCAATGGCAAACTAGGAGCTGCTACGCTGACTAGGGATGGCGACGATGCCGACAGGAAGTGTTGACGGCATCAAGGTTTGGTGCCTCTCTTCTCCCTCTGTTCACGAAGAGTCGAAGACGAAGACTGAATTAGAGTTAGGATTGCTTTCTCAGCCCCACGATTTTGCCTTTCGTTTTCAATTTTTTTTATTAAACAGAAGGGACATAAGGGGGAAAACCGAGCAACCGTTTCGAGCGGCTCGAGCGGTTAACCGCCTCGATCGCTCGCCGGCCGCTCCATAAAATCTTAGCGGTTAAATGAGTGACCTGAGCCAGATTTGCGACCGAGTGACGACTTTTTTGGTCCGGCCGGCCGGCTCGGTCCGGTCTTAATAACACCGACAGAAACTGACCAAGAATGTGAAAGAACATTGGCCTTAAGAAACATAACATGACTGAAGTAGGGGCGTCTTCAAAATGAAGCGAAGCTCTTTTCCTACAAATTGGCAATAATTTTGAAAGCGTATGAAAATCAACCTAAACCTTGAAACGAAAATTCACTATATAATAAGCATGACCCTTGGAACACAAATCCACTACCCAATAAACTGCAAAAGAGATATGCAAACCAATCACCCGTAGGTAAATCCCTCAATCTAAATTCCTAAATTCCACATCCACAACTTAATAGGAATAGAGGATAGAATCAGGAAAGAGAGATTAGAAGAACCTCACCTTTTGTCGCCAGCGGGATTGAGGGCCGCAACTACATCTTCTTTTCTCTTTCCATCCTTTAGAAATCAGAAACCAATTCCTGACAAGCAAAAAATATTAGAACCAAGAAAAATTCGTTGATGCTACTTTTACCAAGAATGGGTCGCTAGCAGGAGAAGGAAGGAGCGCCGGCTGGAGCTCATCGTTTCATACCTCGTCGCTGTTGCTTCACATCTTTGATGCGGGCTCGTGGTTTTCTGGAGGGAGAGGAAGATGATGGCGGCACAACTGTCCCTGCTGCTTGACTTCTCGGACGGGGACCGTCGTTGTCTGGAGGGAGAGGAAGATGATGGTAGCGGGGTTGGTGGCGGTCTGGGGGTAGGGAACGACGGGACCGGTGGTGGTCTGGGGGAGAAGGAATAGCGGTAGAGAGATATCGTGGGATGAGAGGTCGAGTGAGAGGTAGAAGAAAGTGGGAGGAGAGTTTGAGAACCGTCTCTTTCTAGGGTTGTGGTGGACAAAACAACAGCATTTAGAAGCACAGAGGAAAAGGGGGAAAATTGTACCCGTCGTGAATGGAACGCGGAGTCTCATTAATGAATAGTGTGCTTTTTCCGCTGGGAAAAGGGGAACAACCCGTCCCCTTATTTCCAGAAAACTAGAATTTATTTTTCTCCCACAGCTTTCTCCTTCCCAGAATAAAAAGAAGTGCAGAGGAGGAAAAGGAGGGGTGGGCTGGAAATTGGGGTCTAAAAATTGGGAGGGATTGAAAAGTTGACAGTTAAAAATTGGACGGGACTTAAATTTGAGTGGGGGAAATAATGTGTCGACAGGGTCGATTGGTTTCCGTCTAACACGAGGTTTCAGCCTAACACAAGGAAATCTAACGAAAATGCCTTTTGTAAAAAACGAAACCATTATATTATGACGAACATGCCTTTTGTCAAAGCCGAAGCCACCTATATTATGACGAACGTGCCCTTTTGTCAGCTCATCATGGGATTATTTCTATCTATTGTGACAAAATATTTTGTCATTTAAACAATTCAGGAAGACATAATATGACAAAAGCTACTTAGACGATATAATTGGTCACTTTTGTGTCTCTTACATCCCGATATGGGATGCCTATTTTGACAAACTTAATAGTAACACAAAATATTTTTCACATTACTCACTTTAAATGACAAACTATTCTGACAACAAGAAATTTGTCACTGTTGAGTCTCTTACATCCCGATATGGGACGCCTATTTTGACAAAATTAATTTCGACACGAAGTATTTGTCACATTACTCACTTTAAATGACGACTTATTCTGACAATTTTTTTTGTCATATTAGGCATACCAAATAGGACATATATTATTTTTGTCATATCACCGTACATATTGTGACAAACAGAAAATGACAAAATGAAATTTTTATCGTAATAGGCTGAATTTGTTGTAGTAATATACAACCATGTTGTAAAGGCACAATTTAGATAAGTTGATTTTCAGTGAGGGACCTTGGTGCATTTTTGTAGCATCGCAGTGCTAAGACAAGATAACAGTGATGGCTCGTGGTTTAGAGCCACAATGCAACCCATAGAGATCATAGTCATAGCCATGGAGTGAGCCTGTCAGGCTATGGTGCAACAATGTAAGTTTGGGGCTCCATGAGAATGATTTTGAGAAGTATTATGCTCCTAAAAACATCTTGGTTGCAACCTTGTGGTCTCTAAATTAAAACAAAGTTGTGATCTAGCACAGTTGGTGGCTCGTGGTGCAGAGTCATGATGAGCCCTTGCAACGTCATGGTTATGAATCCATTGATGTTGTCTCACTTTATGGCGTCATGGTCTGATCTGGCTGGTGGTATGGAGTCGTAAAGAAATTTTTATAGTGTGGGCTCGTTATTCCATGAACTGTGACGCGTGAACGTTTCACGGGTCGGGATTTCGTAAGCGAGAAACTAAGAAAAACTGAAAGAACTAGTTTATTATTTTCGGGTGAATAAAACGTAGAGGTAAAGTACATATTTATAGGAAAAGTCCCATAACCCTCTCCTTCTCAAACAAGGAAACCCAATCCTAAACCAACTCCTAACCGATTACTTCCTATCAAGAAATAATAATAACACAAAATAACCAAAAGAATATCCAAATAAACAATAATAATAACAATAACGAAAATTAGTTTAATGACCCAAACGGTCAGAAAACATGCACTCATCAATCCTCCCCCCTTCAAGCGAACTCGTCCCGAGGTCGCGCAACCTCCTCGACCCATTCCTCCATTCCACCACTGAAATCCCTGATCAGAGCAAACACCTGGTTGTTAGCACAACGATGGCCAATGGTAAATCGCTCGTAGCAATTGTAGCAGAGATCATCACGGCGACGCTTAGCAGCTTCCTCCGGAGTCAGATGCCTAAAGACTCGCCTCCCAGTTGGCGGCGGAGCTCGATTTTGCGACGCAGGAGGGTGCAGAGGTCCAGTAGCTGGGGTGGCGGCTACCTTGTGCGGCACCGGGACAGGCACACGTAGTCCCCTTGCTGCCCCATGCTCGAGACGGATCTCCTCATCGCGGATCTTTGCAAGACGATAGGCTTCGCCAGTATTTCGAGGCTCAAATGCAAGGATATAAGCTGAAATTTCTGGTTTGAGCCCGCCCGTGTAGGTTCCCATTACAGCTTCCTTACTCCAACCACGGTAGCGGTTGAGCAGCTTCTCGAATGCCTGTTGATAGTCCTTTATCGTACCAGTCTGCTTGATTTTGGCCAAAGACTCATGCCTAGCGGCCTTCTCTGATGCTCCATTGCGCTTCCAAAATTCGGCTTGGAAATCCTTCCAGTTCATCTCCATACCATCCTGCCAGAACTCCTCCTCAATCCACATGATCCACTGATTGGCATCTCCTTCCATGTGGAACGAGGCTAGTGCAACCTTCTGCTCCTCGGGAATTGCCTGGTATATGAAGTATTTCTCTACCCGAGCTAGCCATCCGGAGGGATCTTTCTGCCCGCAGAATTTGGGAAATTCCAAAGTTGGTGATCGCCCCCGAAAGAGTGCGGCAGCCGCTTCATCCCCTGCACGAGCCTTCCCTCGCTCGTCAACCCCGGGATTCGACCCGCTCGACCCGTTGATGGGTCCGATCGATCGGTTCGGCCTAGTCCGGCCGGATTCCCCGCCTCCACTCCTCGGCAACCTCCAAGCCTCCTCTCGAGCCCCTCATACCAGGTCCAGGCGGCTGACTGGTCCTCTCCTGCTTCTCGGATTGCCTCCCGCCTGCACCGATCCTCCGCGTTCCTCACCTGGCGTGCGTCCCGTCTTGGTCCGCATCTCCTGGAACCCGTCATGCCTCCTGCTGTCTTCTCCTCTTGCACGGTTGCGTCGTTCATCGAACTACCCCACTCGCTTTCCCTCATCGTCTCTAAAGGCCAGGTTTCCCCAGGCCATCCCGCTCAGAACAATGGCCTCATCAGGCCCGTGGGGTCCTGTTTGTCCTTTCGCGGCGCTCGACCTGTGCGGCGGTGGCACACTCGGAGTCCTGCCGTGACTTCCTCCCTTTGCCGAGTCCGTCTCCCCTGTCATGCCCTTCAGCTTCTCTTCCGGGGGTATTTGATCAATCGTCCTTTGATTCCCTGGCTTCTCCCGATTACTACCGTCGGGGCCGAACTTTTCCCCTCCGTTCCACGCAAGCTCCTGTAATTCCCGGCGCATGATATCTCGGAGTTCCTGCATCTCACGCCTCATCTCCCCGCGTATGGACTCGGATACCTGCGCAAGCTTCCTCGCCATGGATTCGGATTCCTGCTCAACCTTCTGCTGAAGCTCCCTTCGTCCCTAGTGACCCTCGATCTGGAGCAGGTTCTGCGAATCCTTGAGTTGGCCAATATTTGTCAGAACTGGTTTATTATTTTCTGAAAAAGTTCTTAAATAAGAAAATATTCGACGAGTAAAAGTTACAACAAAATTTAATAATATGTTCATATTTTGGTAATGTAGCTTAGTGTTACTTAATTGTAATGTTCCATGGTGCAAGAGCACGCAGGTTTGATGCTTGCCTTTAGCTTCTTTTATCAATTTTCTCAGTTCTCACTTTTTGCCTTCTAATTCTTTATCTTCTACAAATTAAATAGAGAGTTTTGAATTTTCAATCAATACCTAAAGTGTATTGTTGAATTTTTTTAAAAAAACTTAGTTTCCATTTTTCTATTAAAAAATCTTAATTTTATTTTTCTATTTGGATCTCAATTTCTTTAGTATTTATTATTTGTACCATTAGATATCTTACTTTGTTTGATTAATTTAATATATAATTTTATTATCAAATTTTAATTTCGAATTATGAAAACAACACAACCAAATTCCTAGTAAATTTCTTAATTATTTTCATGGAAAATTTTAAATTTATACATCACTTAAACTCATTCTGCTAAAGTGAAGAATACATATAATTATTTGATTCTGGGCACAAATGCAAAATTCCTGGCTTCCTCCCTGGGGATAAGGGCTATAGGTTTATAATAAGAGAAAATTACAACAACAAATAAAATGTAATCAAATATAAAAGATGTTCACTAATAACTACTGTGTTATAGATTTGTATAATACATACTATTATATTTTTCCTTTCCCAATACTCAAACTACTATTAATTTTTCTCTCAAAATTTAAGAGTGTCCCGAAACACATCTACCTTCCACTTGAGTCCGCTCATGGCTATAAGTAAATTCTTCTATATCCAATATCTCATAACAATTGCAATATCCCAACAACAACATCAACAGTAATCCAATCTTCAATCCACATGGCGATTGGAGCACCCGTCAAACTCATTAGAACTATGATTGCAAAACTATTCAGACCTTCTCTCAAAAGGCTTGTAATTTACTTATTTTCCTAATCTTATAGGCTAATTATGCCACCAATTTCTTAGGTCGCGCTCGTCATGTGATGTAAGAGCATAAATTTTGAATAATAAAATTAGCCGACCGCACCTGCTTAAGCGACAGAGAATCTAAAAATCTTGTCATCGGTGCAACACGGAATGGTCCAGAACTAACACTTCATGGGCTTGGACCCATAAACTCTACGAGCCCCATTTTAAGCTGGGCTAGCTCAACCCTTCAAATCAGTTCCAACCATTCTTCTTTACATTCACACTCGCAAATGATTTATCACATGCAAAGAATAAAATCAGGTAAATGCCACGTTTGGTCACTCGGTTGACTAAAACGTGTCATGTTCAGTCACTGAAAAAATTTAATATCAATGTTAGTCACTCAAATTTATAAAACGGCTCACGTTTGGTCACATTCCGTTAACACCGTTAGTCATTTGCTGACGTTGCTAACAGAAGTACTGAATCACCTAATTTTAACCCCCACAAACCTGAACCCTACTCGCCATATCATCTTGCCTAGCCCAACCAATCCAACCCATTAACCAAACCCAACCTAATAAAATGACCCACTTAAATTTCTAAAATGAACCAGATCTCAAATTAAATCCCTAAAATAATAAAATGTTATCTTCTTCCCACTTTCTTCCTTTTCCGTTTCTTAAATAGTCACCGGCGACGAGGGAGAGATGGAGTCAGACTGCCACCTCCGACTCCTACCACTGCCCGACACCGGCTCTCTCTGACAATGAGCTTGGCATCATCTCCCTCACCTCGGTCTCATCTTCCCGCATCCTCACCGTTGTCATTGTCCATCACCAAATGGACAATGACGACGGTGGAATTATTAGTTCCCACTGTCGCGTCAATTGTCCGAGATCATGCCATGCATTGAGGAGGAAGGAGTTAGGGATTGCAATTTGGAAGATAGAGTCGCCGACAAAAGCAGCAGTAGCAACCATCTAATCCTACTGAAGCGGTCCTACTCATTTGCATATGAGCGGTCGGAGAGGATGCTGGTGACAGTGTCGCCATGGAGATCGAGCAAGAGATCATCAACGTGGAGCAAGCGGTCGTCGAATTCCAAGCCCAGATTTTTCTTTTCGTTCATGTACTTCTACAGATCAGGAATCAAATCGCCCTTCTTCAAACAGAGATATGGAGGCAGGGGCGGTTTCTTCCCTCTTTCGGAGCGATTCCCCGCGCACCACCACCACGGTGGCGGTTCTTCGAGACGGAGAGAATGCATGACGAGTTCGATGTTCTTGAGCTTCTCCTTCGACGATAGATCGTGCGAGTTCAGCCACGCCGAGGAGGCGACGGGGAGCGAGAACAAGGAAGCGAAGCTGCTGCGGCGGGGGAGGGTGGCTAGAGGAGAGTGAGGGTAGCGGGAGGAAATCGATGGCGAACCCGAGTACTCGACCGTTGCAGAGGATGAAGGAGATGCAGCGGAAGGTGTTGGCGGGCGGATGAAAATCGGAGTATGCGGCGGGAGATCTGTCGACGATGGCGTAAGCGATGGTGGTGGTGAACAGGTGAAATAAATCGACGAATCCTAAGGAAGATTTCAAGAGGTCGATGATGGAGATGATAACGGAGAAGGAGTTTTACAATGGCAATGAATTGGAAGAATTGCTGCAGTGTATGTTGTCGCTAAATTTGAGACAGTAGCATGAAGAAATCGTGGAGGCCTTCTTCTCTATTTGCGGGAGGAAGCGAGGGTGGTAGATTTGGATAAAGAAGGATATGGGAGGAAGAAGGTTTGGATTGGGTCAAATAGAGAAACATTTAAAGGGTTGGGTGATAAGTTGAGTTTGTTTTAATGATGTGGCAGGTTTTAATGATTTGACAGGTCAAATTTTATTTTTGTTGGGTTAAAGTCGGCTGATTTGGCGATTTCGTTTGCCACATTAGCATTTAATAACACTAGTTTTTTTTTCTTTTCGATAATGGTGAATTTTATCTTTTGTGCATCTTTTTCCTCTTTATTTATTTTTGTGCATTCTCTTTGTTAATGGACAATCCAAGTAACACATCGGAAATACAAGGGAAGTAACCCTTGTATATTAGTGTCCATCGAGCCTAATTAGTACGAGGCCTTTTGGGGAGGATACCCAAGAGTAAAACCGTGCGGGTTTGGCCCAAAAAAGACAATATCATACTAATGGGCTCCCCCGATTATGACAAGTGGTATCAGAGCCTTGTTTAGGTCCAGGGTGGTGAACGCCAGTTTGGTGGACCCTTGTTCGGTGACCTCGGGATTTGTGATCTGCGTCTGGTTTGGTAGATCCACGAGAGATCCACGTTTGGGCTGCATCAGGTCTGGCGGATCAAGGGAGGTCCGCGTCTGGTTTGGTGGATCGACGAGAGATGCACGTCTGTTTGGCGGATCAAAGAGAGTTCCACGTTTGGGAAAATCCTTGTACCGAGAAGCCCATCGATATAAGGTGTCTGGCGGATCAAGATAATCATTGAGGTGAGAACATGATGTTCGTGGTTCTTGTCGTGAGGGGAGGATTGTTATGGGACAATCCAAGTACCACATCGGAAATACAAGGGAAGGAACCCTTGTATATTAGTGTCTATCGAGCCCAATTTGTACGAGGCCTTTTGGGGAGGATACCCAAGAGTAAAACAGTACGAGCTTGATCCAAAACGAACAATATCGTACTAATAGAACACCCGAGTTTGACACTCTTTTATCTATATCGATGCACTTAATTCAGTGATGCGTGTTTTATTTGTTCTTTTTCGGTTGTTAATAACTGCTTTATACGAGACATGGTACTTTGTTATTGGTCATTATGATTAACTATTATAATTAAGTTCTACATATGAAGAAGAAGAAGGGTTTCTTCCTCGACGGGATGAGTCGATTTTCAAGTTTTGCTGAAGTATCAGAGTTAGTTTGTTTTCTTTTTCAATCGAGTTGCCTTCAGCGGGTCACAAACCCTAAATGCCAATACTTCTAAAATTTATAATGTATCAAGTTAGTATGACATCCAACATGGTTGTCAGTTTAACGATGATGGTATAAAGCATATACTATCAAACTATCACAAACAAATTTAAACAGAGTGTGAAGGAAAGTCATGTGAGTGAGAGTTGAGATGAGTAACAATACTTAAGCTCACGATCAATTTCAGAGGTATGTAACGATATTTAAACTTGCGATTAGTCCCGGACTAAACCGACATAAAAGTTAAAATATAGGGACTACTTCACAAAAGAAGTCGCATTTTTTTTTATTTTTATGAATAGAAGTCGCATTTACCCTGCCTCGAAATGAAAAAAAGAAGAAGAAAGGAAACGGAACAGAAATTCAGCGGCGAGCAAGACAAAAAGAAAAGGAACAAAAAAAATAAATATAAAATAAATAAAACAAATAAACTGAAGGGACTGTTTTAGAGAGAGAGGAAAGAGAGGGGAAGGAAGAGGAGAGAGAAGGGAGAAGGGGAACGGGGGAAAAACAGAATGGGTAAGGCGGCAGCAACGGCGGAGACAATGACGAAGAAGCGGAAGAAAAAGGGACGGCCTTCGCTTCTCGACCTCCAAAAGCGAGCTCTCAAGCAAGAATTGCAGCAGCAGCTGCAGCAGAAGAATCCTCCGCCCAAGAATCGCAATCAAAACCCTGCTCGCCAAAACCCTAATTCCCTCCTCAATTCCCGCCGATCTGCCCGCCGGAACCCTCAATCTGGCGGCGAAGATGACTACGGAGATGGCGATGACGACGAAGACGATGATGAGAGGAAGGAGAAGAAGCACAAGCTTCTGCTCGGCCTGAATTCCCAGCAGCAGCAATCGAATCCCCTTTTCCGTTCGAATTCCTCTGCCTCTAATTCTTACGGGTCGGGTTCCGATAATCCCGAGGCGGCTGCGTTGGCCATCGTCAAGCACCGCCAGATCGGAGGTGTCCGCCTCGGATCTGATGAAACGGTGATTCAATAAATTCCCCGATCCCCGTCAATTGATTAATTAATCGAAACAGGCCCCTTTTTTGTGCATTTTGCAATTGTGAATGTGGGGATTTTCGCGGGTGATTTTTCAATTTTGTGGGTTGCTGAATTCGAATAGGCGTGGAAGTTTTTGACTGGGTCAGGGGTTTTTCTGGTTTATTTTTTTTTTTAAATAAAATTTATCATCCCCTCTTTTTATCCTTTTGGAAATTCTTGGTTTTGTTCCCCATTTGATTTCCTTTTTGTTTTGTGTTGAATAAATATATATATTCTTTTTCTTAGTGTTTTTGTATTGAATGAAACTTCTGATCTTAAATAATGGAGTGGAATGGAATGAATGAATGGTAAGAAAGATGCAAAAGAAAAGAGTCCCCTCTTGTCTGAAAAATAAAGTTTTTGTTTGTCTTTTCTCTAATTGAGATGTTCAGTTCCTCTCAGTCATTTTAGCTCATGTACTTTCTTCGCCTTTTTACTGTAACTATTGCTCAGAGCTTCTTCTTCTAACACAGAAGAGAAGATGAGATGAGATGAGATGATAATGATATGATATGCCAGTTCAGTGGCTACCTTCCTCTAATTTTAGTTTATCCCTTTTTCCCCTTTCCCTTTCTGCTTTTCCCAGCTTGGGATGGGGAGAGTTTCGAAGGAAATCTATGCTGTTGTTAGTGTTGCTGTTATCTCTGTAAAATTGAGTATTATATATAATGGAATGTGTTGCTGGGTTTTCCCTTTTGCAGGGTGAAAAGTTTTGGAAAGCGACGGACACTCTTCATGGTATGGTTGGTTTCAATCAGTCTTCAAAATCCATGGAGGAAAAGGCGGTTCCTTGGACATGAAATATTTATATATTTTTGTGGGTTTTCTCATCTTGGGAAAGACTGTATTAGTAATTAATTGGTGAACTCATTCCTTTGTATTTATCTATCTGTACAGGGTTATCAGGGGAGGAGCCTGGTCCCACGACGACACCTTTGCCAGACAAAAAGTTGTTGGTCTTCATTCTTGACAGACTTCAAAAGTGGGTCTCTTGTTTATAAGCTTCTCAGAGGGATTTTTTTTCTTCTCTCTTCTCCATTTCAATTTTTTCCAAACGACTCGCTTATTTTGGTTTTCCTTATTTTCCCCACCATTGACTGTTATTCGGTTCTTACTGGTATTTGTCTTTTGCAGAAAGGATACCTATGGAGTTTTCTCCGACCCTGTGGATACAGAGGAGGTTAGTGCATTGATTGTATATGTGTTGAACGTACTCTGACAATGCCACCCTCTGCTGTGCTGATGTTTCGTGGTCAATTGCTTTTGTTACAGCTTCCTGATTATCTTGATATCATTGACCATCCCATGGATTTTTCTACGGTTAGGAAGAAGCTAGATGGCGGGGAGTACTCCAACTTGGAACAATTTGAGGTTTGTTTAAGAAACTCTAAACTTTATCCTTTCTTGAAATTAAGTAGACTTCTGCTGGGTAAGTTTTTGAGGGGATAGCTTGAATATGCTGCCAGAGTAAGTTTGCCTCAAGCAGGTTTCGTATAGGCATCTCTAGAGGTGTTCTGTAGATGTAAATTGAGTCCTTCTACTATTTAAGATGTAACTTCGGATGCAGTCAAGTATGTAGAAGAATAGCTTGAATATGCAGCCAGAGTAAGTTTGCCGGAAGCAGGTTTCATATAGCTTTCTCGAGAGGTGTTCTGCAGATGCAAATTGGATCCTTCTACTTTTTAAGAACTAACTTTGGATTCAGTTAAGTATCAAGAAGAATATCACAGCTGCAGATGTTAATACTCTCTGTTGTTGGTAGAAGAGAAGCATCATGCCGAACTATTCTTTGAAGGGATGTGCATGAATTCAATGCTCCCATATGAATGTAAAGTACGTGTGGACTTGTTTGCTTGAAGTACACTTAATAGTGTGACAGCTGTTGGGACAGCATTGCATATTAGTGTCCCATTTTGAAAACTTAAGAAGTAAAGAAATTTGACGTGAGTCTCAACGTGGTTTGACGTGGTCATTCTGCTCTTGTAGAGAATGTCGTAGAAGTTAATTAACTACTTGATCTCCTATGCAGAACATTTGTCTGTGAAATTGAAACTTACTGGAGTTTGTTATAAATTTGCAGGGAGATATTTTCCTTATTTGTTCAAACGCAATGCAGTATAATTCTTCCGATACCGTTTACTATCGACAGGTTTGCACCCCATCAATTTAGTGCTATACATATTTGTTTATCCGTGGTTTCTGTTAGAATTGTTGTTAAAAGTACTGTTACTGTCTCTCAGGCACGCTCCATACAAGAGCTAGCTAAGAAGGACTTTGAAAATCTGAGACAAGACAGTGATGACGGTGAACCGGAAGAACCCAAAGTGGAGAAAGTCGTGAGGAGGGGCAGGCCACCAGGGAAGTCAAAAAAGTCACTCGAGAAGCCTCCACTTGACCGCTTGGCAATCGAGTTCTCGTCTGATGCAACACTCGCCACCGGAGGCGATAACTCTATCGGGTCGAATGGTTATAATCTCAGGAAAACGACGTTGTTCAAGCAACCTTCTGATGCAGTTTTGAGAATCACTAATGGGCCTCACAATGGGGAAACGAACGCTTCGCAACCCGAATGGGAAAATGAGTTTCCAGGTTTAGGATCATTAACTGCCTAATTGAACTTTCCTCTTATGCTAGCCTTTCAAGAAAATTAAAGTTCATTTTTTTTTTAATGTTGACTTGCAGCTTCTGTGGTGAGGGCTGTGATGAAACATTCAAAGAAAACATTAGTAGATGAGAACAGGCGTGATACATATAATCCTCCTTCAGCTTCCTCCGCACACGAGCCATCAATCTTGAATTCATTAGATGGAGAATTGAAGCAACTAGTCGCGGTATGTTGGAAATAAATCTCGTCCCCATTCTTGATTTGGGAAGGAAGTTGATTTTGATGTTTTTGCTATGGAAAGATTGCATTTTTTTACTTTCAACTTTGGTTGTAGGCAATCATAATTCTCTCTGCTTAGTTTGCACTTATATTTTTTAAAACGTCATCAGGTTGGGCTAAGCGCGGAGTATGGTTATGCAAGAAGCCTGGCTCGATTTGCAGCTGGCCTTGGTCCAACAGCATGGGCAGTAGCTTCTAAAAAGATTCAGCACGTATTGCCTACGGGAGTCGAATTTGGTCCTGGATGGGTAGGAGAAAACGATGTGGTCCAGAGTGGCCGTGTTTTATCCAATGATACTGCGTCCGATGATCCATCTAACAGTCATCAAACCCTCTCAACAGGCATAAGTACGACCCCGACTGTAAACATGCATCAGACATGGAACAGAGAAGATACAGCAGTGAGAAATGGTGCCGTTGGACCATCAACTCCGTTCAACGACTGCATTACTCCTACCATGAAGCCTATGGCACCGCCGCTAGCTCAACAGCAAATTCGAGGTGTTGCCTCTTCATTCGACTGCAGTACTTCTCAGGTTGGTGTGCTTCCAACGACACCCTACCGGCCATTTGGTGTGGTTCCGAGTTCGTACACAAGTTTCGGTCAAATACAGCAGGGGCATGCTTTCGATCCGAACAAGGGCAAGCCAGGAACTTTCAGCTCGGGTACGTCATCAGCTCCTGGCAGCAGTATACCAACAACCACGACAGGGTTTGCTGGGAGAACCGCGGGGTCTCAGGGACTACCGCCAGCACCGCTGTACCATAATGAGCAGGAGCTCTTCCAGTTCCCTACAGACCTAAACGTCGGTTTCTTGTCGCCAGGTTCGCCCAATTCGTCTGGGGTTGTTCCGATTGGTTCTCCACAGCAGCCAGACTTAGCATTGCAGCTTTGAGGGATGATTGATTTAGAGAGTGTAGGGATGGCTGGCTTACTGGTTTATTATTTCAGTTTTTCTTGTGGGGTTTTAGGACCCCGCCATTATTTGGCTCTCTTTTGAACTGACTAATATGTAGGAGGGGAAGAAGGGAAATGGGAAACAATAAGATGGGAGATTTGGGGGAGGGGATTGGGTGAAAGGGGGTATTTAAGGATTTAGGCGATGATGGTCTTTGTATTGAGCATAATTGAAGTTAGTTGTATACTCTGATGATTGGAAGGGAAAGGAGACGGAATTTATGGTGTAGGGGAGTGGGAAATCTGTATAGATTTTATGGGATTGTATCAAAATTTTAATGTGTAGGTGAAAGAAACCACAGATTAACAGTTCATATGGTGTTCTCATTTCGTAATGCTTTTCGTAAGAGATTCTCCCGTTTTGTTACGTGAGTCAATTCTCTGATTTTTGTTTTTACAAAATATAAAGTATAAACATATATATTGATTCCATCCTGAAATTTAACCAGACCAAAAATTTAAAGACACGACATGTAATCTGGTACAATGAAAGGACCTTTCTAGTTATCAAATAGACTACCCTATTACTACTCGATCTACGAATCGCACATTAAATCTAGTGTGAATAGTGAAATAGTGCACGACCTCCTCGAGGATGACCTCTATCTGATTATCTCGGGTATCTACCTGATTTATTTTTATCAATGATCACTTTGGCATTTCCTTCGAACCTCGTCTTCTTAAACCCGTTCTCCAGACACCAGAGAATAGCCTCCCGAAGAACAAGTAGTTCGACAACCATAGGATCAACATTATCATCAAACTGCACCTAGGGGTGGGCAACGGGACGGGACGGGATACCCGTCCCGTTTGAAACGGGTACCCAGTCCCATTTGGAGAGCAATCTCCATCCCATATCCCAAACCCGGATGGGTTAACGGGTACCCGTTACCCGTACGGGACGAATAACAGGTCGGGTACCCATACTACCCGTAAATACCCGTTCAATCCGACTAGCTTCCATCTTATACCTCTTATTTAGCACAGATACGAGTTCCAATCTTGTAGCTCACGGAAAGAATAAAGAGCCAGATGGAACTTTCTCTTTGATTTTTCTTCCTGCTTTCTTTTTATGTTTAACCTTGCAACAATTATGTATCTTAATGCTACGAGAGTAAGATGAGCCACTAAAATACTCGTGGCTACTCTTTCCATTCTTGCTTCTTCTGCTAATCTATTGACGACTTTCTGTGCAGGTACCAAGGTACCAGCTACAATTGCATATGCTTTATGTGCCTTTTTTAGCTTAAAAGTTCTTATAAGAATTGTGTTGTTTCCTTATGTGTTTTATATTTCCTTTATTTTTAATCTTAATAATATCATGTCAGCGGGAATTGAGTTTCATCGGCAGGAACATGAGGGTTAATATCACAGAATGAAATTAGCTCGGCATTGGGTTTGGCCATTTGGGAAATCGAATGGGGCAGCAAGAGCGGGTTGGGGGTTGGAGTGAGCTTGGTTTTTGGGCTTTTGGACTAATGGGTATAACGGGTACCCGTAATACCCAAACGGGTATTAGCGGGTAACCCACGAGTACCCAAAGTAGCGATTCTTGATCCCAAGTCTCATCCCGTAAAAAAAATTACGAGTATTTGGGTACTCGTAACGCTAAAAAAATGGGACGGGTACGGGTATACCAAATACCTGTATCCCGTTGCCCACCCCTAACTGCACCCCTTTAGCCAAGAGGACCCTCCCTTCTAGGTTCATGATAATCAATCCCCCGGCCGAGTGAAACTCACTCTTAGTTGCCCCATCCCACATACAGATAGCTGAATTAGGGTGCCCATCACCTAAGGACCTTGCTTGTGGGATGGATGACCACATGACACGGTCTACTAGCAAACTAATCCACTCCTGGTACTGCTGGTGAAATTGTTGCATTAAAGCTGGAATCCCAAGTTGTATGCCTTCAAATACAACCCAATTTCTTGATTGCCAGATCCTCCAAAGGACTGCAACAACAACCATAAACAGTTGAGGTTGATGTATCAGTAACATCAACTTTTTAAGGAAGAGCGGAAAAGTTTGAGGAGGCAAACTTTGGCCAACATATTCGAGGCCCGAATGGTCCTATAAAGCCATTGCCACTGGGCAATCAAGAAACAAATGTTCCATTGTTTCCGATTCTGCCCAGCAAACCGGACACCTGGTAAGCACCTGAACTTCCTTCTCAGTTAGGGCTTTCGTCGTTGGAAGGATATGGTGGAATATTTGCCATAAAAACACTTTTAATTTGTGTGGAATATGGGCTTCCCACAAGCAGGTCCAACTCGATCTATCCATCCAACTAGTCATGGATCGCCACAAATCATCTTGTTTATCTTACAAGACTGCAAAATTATAGGCTGATTTGACAATGAAAATCCCGTCACATGTGTCATGCCAGATCAATCTATTCTCAACATCCTGGTGAGGAAGAGGAATTGTTTTGATGGCACGACAAGTTGTCGGGTCAAATCACTGGCTAAGTTTTAGATCACACCACCTCCCCTCTCCTTGGCAAATTACCTCCGCCACATTCGGGTCTCCACCCTCTGGTAGCACCTGGAGATTATACATAGGGGGTATGGGGTGTAATCAAGGAATCCAATTTGAGCGAAGCAGTGAAGCTTCCCGGCCGTTACCAATTTGCCGAAGTAGCCCCTTAACTAATAATTGAAGGCCATACAGGATACTCTGTCATCCCACGACGGGCGAGATCGCACAGTAGTATTAAGGAAAATCCCTGTTGGGAAATATTTCCCTTTGTAAACCTAGGCTAGGAGCGAATGAGGTTCGTCTAGGATGCACCATTCAATTTTGTCCAAGAGCGCCTGATTAAAATGTTTGAATCCATGAAACCCCATTCCCCCATCGTGCTTACTCCGGCAATATTCCGTTAGGACATCCACCATATCCGAGAATGACCCTCTTCAACACCTCACCAGAATTTGACCGCGTGTCTATCTAAAAGTCGAGAGAGAGAGAGAGAGAGAGAGAGAGAGAGAGAGAGAGATAGATGGCTTAAAACAGGTTATGACATGTAATGTCAGAGCTAAATCTACTGATTTAATAAATGTCTCCTTTGCTGCCCAAGACAGTGTCCTTTGCTTCCACCTCTAAAGCCGACCGAGCAGCTGTTTCTCCAAAAATCGGAACATAGCCATTCTAGATTAGGTTATCATTGTGGGAAAATCTAGATATTTATCATGGACCCCCACATCTCTGAATACCAGAATCTGAGCAAGAAAATCTTGGTCCGACAGAGAAATATTTTAAATAAACATACTATCGATTTAGCCAAGTTAACCCTTTGGCCACCAAGTTCCTCATATTCATTTAAAACCTCAATCAGATTCTCACTTACCTGTAGAGAACCTTTAAGGAATAAATAAGAATCATCTGCAAAAAATAGATGCAAAATCTGAGGAGCTCTAGGGGCAACTTTAACCCCTTCTAGCTTCCCTTCATAAATAGCCTTCTGAAGGAGCGCCGCGAACCTCTCCATGCAAATCACAAACATGAGAGGGGATAGCGGGTCCCCCTACCAGAGACCTCTTGATGGTGTGAAAAATCCCGATGGTGTGTCATTCATAAGGACTGAAAACAACGTTGAGCTAAGACATTCCTGGATCCAGCCTCTCCAGGTAGAGTTAAAGCTCAATTTTTCCAAAACCGCAAGGAGAAATGGCCATTCGACTCTATCATATGCCTTTTTCATGTCAACCTTTAGAGCCATGTACCCTTTGTTGCCTTTGGTTTTGATTTTCAAATAGTGCATTAGCTCATGCCCTAGCAGGACATTCTCCACCATTTGTCGTTCACGTATGAAAGCATTTTGTCCCTCCGAAATGATTTGTGATAAGAAACAGGCTAGTCTTTCAAACATGGTTTTGGTTATAATCATATACACAAAGTGGCATAAGCTTATCGACTTGATTTGCCTCATGTCTTCTACATTGTCCACTTTAGAGATTAGAGTGAACCAAGTGTGATTAAAACTTTAGAGAATCGTTCTCGTACTAAAGAAAGAACCGACTGCTTCCGTCACAGATTCACCTACAATATCCCAAAAGGACTTGAAAATTTCCCAGTGAACTCTTCGGACCCAAGTGCCTACTTTGATCCCATAGAGAAGACCGTTTTACGAATGTCACTATGAAGGACATCTGTCGTAAGACTAACAATCATTTCCGCCATTACTCTACGGGATATCGGTAGATATGCGACCTTGGCTTCCATGTTCAGCACTTGATTTTCAGAGGTGAAGATAGTTTGATAAAAATCTATGGCAATGTCAGCCTTTCTTCTCTCCTCGGTGATCCATTCCCCAGTATCATTTCGTAACTCGGACATAAGTTTCGTTTTTTTCAAGCCCGCGTGAGTCTTTATTAAATCTCATGGACATGGAATTACGGCATATTTTTTTCATCCTTCTTAAGCCAACGGACCCTTTATTTTTGTTGCCATTAAATCTCATCCGCCTCCCATTGCTGACTCAATTGAGCCTCCAAATCCTCACTTTATTCCAATCAGTCGGGTGAACTAGTTTAGTCCATTCTATCTCAAATTGGAGGGTCTTGATATTTCAAAGAGAATTCGTCATACCCGCCCTACTCCAATCATAGAGCAAATGTCGTAGTTTCTTCAGTCTCTCATTCATTTCTACTTATTCATGTACAATCTCGTCTGAGTAAATATAAGATTATAGAAAAGGTAAAATTGTTGAATGAGTGTGTGATGTCATTATTTTTAGCGGTGGAAATGAGTCAAACTCAGCCCTAGTCCTAATACTATTCTAAAAACCCTGGCCTTATAGTACTTGACCACGATCGACCCTATTCTCCTTTGACCCTGTCTGTCCCATACAAGTAGGGTTAGATAGGACCGGGTCGGGTTACAGGGGCGACCCATATCATTTTATTTCATATTAGTATCAAACTAAATTTTAGAAAATCCAAATCGGATCTACACATTTTAAACCCTCCCAAAATTATGAAATTAATTATGATAATTTCAGTTAATTCCATAAAATTAAAATTACTTAAAAGCCCAAATTAACATAAAAAATGCTATGTTATTATGAAACACGAGGTATTGTGGATATCTATTGGATTCTACATTGGATGTCACATTGCATTCTATGTTGGATGCTATGTTAGGAGTTATTTACCTCCCTTAATTTTATTATGATAATGATTCATCTTTACGGCTCAATGCATCACTTTCAAGTGTATTGATAGAGAAAATTGTAAGGTTATGTATATGTGCCTATAAATAGAGCACTTCATTTGTACAAAACATGAGATAAATAAGAAAAACACTTCTCCTATTTTCTCTTGTGTCTTTCCCTCTCCACTCTCTCTTACTGTTGTTCTCCTCTCTTAGTTTATAACATACGTCCAGTTCTTGGCTTCTTCTTGCCAAACCAATCACTCACACTGTACTCAAATTTCTCAACCCTAATCACCAACGCTGCAACATTCCTAAACCCACTCCTTGTCACCGCCTGAAAACACATCCCACCATCGCTACCGCCTCCTCCAACACCCATCTGCCTATGCTCCATCATATATTTCCTCACCTCCCTCTTTATCATCTGTTGCATTGCCGGCACGAACTTCGAGTTGAACCTCAACGACTCCACTTGACTATTTACAGGTGCTGAAACATGGATCGGGTCCCAGATGGCTCACCGGCTATAACAGTGTTATCGTATTGGCAACAATAATGGTATTTTTGTGACTACAATTTACAGTAGGAGTAGCCAGAGGTGGCAGAATATGAGTCGAAATGTGTTTTCAGCTCCATAACTCAAAACTACCCCATCCTTATAGGGCAAACATCCGACCTGGCCTTATTTGAACCCTAAGAGGTAATTGGCCAGACCTGCCCATCAGGATCGGGCTGAGCGAGCCTCTTGTCACAATTCTTTTGATTAGATGGTCTTACAATGAGTGAAAAAAGGAATATGTTAAGTTGTATTCGATTGAGATTCACTCAACTTTTTGTTGAATTTCCCCGTTTGTGTTTACCGAAGATGATTTTGATTTATTTAGGGCACATTTTGTCTGTGGATGAGTGAAGAGTTAGAATATCGAAGGAAATGTAGAATAACAGAGGGAAAGGGACCAAACCCTTTGGAGCTGGATCCAATAACACCATCCTCAACATTTAACCTCAGCTTGACCAAGGTTGAGGCTTCGTGGACTCATATCCAATAATAGAACCCAGTCTGTGCCCATCCGGGTTAAGATCAGGTGACTAGGGGGGTCTTTAGTCACATGACTAAGTGAATCTCAGCCCTTCCACCTCATTAAAATTCAATGGCTCAGATTAATTCAGCTTAATGAAGGGCATGATAGTAATTGCATGATTTATTAATTTTTAATTAAAAAAAACCTAACATGCTCCAGCGTTTTCCCTCGGCTGGGTTTTCGGCGGCCAAGAATTTTCGTCCAGCGGCTCAGGGGAACGGATCAGGTCAGTAACCTTATGGTGAGTAACCATGAGTAACCAGCCCACATCAGCATGACATCAGCATCCCTCTCTCCTGGAAAGCCTTTAATTTTCCCCTTCTTAATCTTTGACGGACTATTTCTCACTCGTTTTAAATCTAAATTTAATTTTTTTTGCACAGTTAGATCAGATTAATTGTGCTCTTCAAAATGATATCCACTTTGATATATTTTTCCAACAAAAAAATTGAGCCATTTTTTACCAGTCTATACCATATGGTATTGACTGGTATTGAAATAAGAACATACCTATGGTTTGAAAAGCGTACCATGATGGTATGAACAAACCAAGACTGTAGGATGGTTGAATACATGATAATAGAAGTATATTAACTGTCATTTACGACTTTTATCATTGTGTACCATAATTTACCACCCGGTACCAGGGTGGTATTGTATGGTATTGTGGTATTTTTTTGTCATGTAATTTGTTCACCCAGAAATTTTTAGATCCAATAGATCATGATGAACTCGTCCCTTCTGTGCAAACGTTTTTAAAAACGAATTAAAAACGAAGAAAATACCATAATATACCATAATATACCACCCCGTACCAGGGTGGTATTGTATGGTATTGTGTGGTATTTTTTGGTCATGTAATTTGTTCACCCAGAAATTTGTAGATCCAATAGATCATGATGAACTCGTCCCTTCAGTGCAAATGTTTTCAAAAACGAATTAAAAACGAAGAAAATACCATATGGTATGCAGTTGGTACCGAGAGGCCAGAGTTTTTTTTTCTAAAAAAATATTGAAAATTGATATCATTTTGTAGAGCAAGATGAACTCGTTCCATCTGTGCAAAAAAAATTAAAATTCGAGTTAAAACAAAAAATATATGAGCCGATTAAAAAAGCTAGGGAAAATAAAAATGGTCTTTAATTCTCCATCCTTAGATCTGGATTTTCTAAATGATAGGTCCAATTTTGGTTATGGATGGGTTATGCACCCTATCTTGAGCCGTTTCTCAGGGATAGGGGATGCGATTGGCGGCGGGCAGGAATTTTGTGTGAGAGAGAGAGAGAGAGAGAGAGAGAGAGAGAGAGAGAGAGAGAGAGAGAGAGAGAGAGAGAGAGAGAGAGAGAGAGAGAGAGAGAGAGAGAGAGAGAGAGAGAGAGAATTATCCGACGAACAGAGACAGCGGAGGTGAATTTTTCGACGATAGTGCTGGATTCGTGATTTTGTAATGTTTATAAGTCCGGTTTGTAATGTTTATATCAGTTCAGTTTGTATCATTTATGATTTTAGTTTGTTATTTTTGTCTATTGTGTTTGTAATGTTTATATGACTATTTTGTATACATTTTAATTTGTAATGTTTGTTTTTCTAGTTTGTATACTTTATGTTGTGATTTGTATACTTTGTATTCATTGATTTGTAATACAAGTTTACTGTTTTGTATTGTAAGTAATGGTATTTTGTACTGTTAGTATGTTTTGTAATGTTTGTCGGTCTAGTTCGTATTGTTTGTATAGTTCGTATGTTTCGTATTGTTTGTAAATCCGTTTGTATGTTTTATTGCTCTAGTTTCTATTGTTCATACTGTTTGTAAGTCCGGTTTGTATACTTCATAATTTTCCATAATACCCAAACTACCCCTGACATTAATTAAATAACCCTTCCCACTTTTTAACCATCAGATTGATGTGTCCAGATCTAAGGGCTGAGAAGGGCTTAGTCAAATGACTAAGCACCCCCTTAGTTACAAGATCCGGACCCGTGCCCATCCAGTACCAACAGGCAACATGCATGCATCAAACCAAATGTGAGGAGTCTTTTAGACTGTCTAGGGTTCATTTTTTTTGAAAGGGCTAATACCACTATTAACTTTGTATCATTTGTGTCCTAAAGTATTCGATATGACATTTGTGTCCTAACGTATGATAGTTGTGTGTCATTTACGTCCTAACAATTTCGTTGACCGTTATAGATAATGGTTAACCAAACGGTCAATCATAAAATGTTGACTGTTGATTACATGGCACATATGTGGTAGCCACGTATATAACACGTCAGCTGCAATTTCAGGTTGTTATTTTCAAATTAAAATTAACAATTAAAATACAAAATACATAATAAAAAATAAAAATTTTAACAATTGAAATTAACAATTAAAATTATTTTCAGCCACATATCCTCATCTCTCCATCCCGTCAATTTGCCCCTTCCATTTTCCGCTTTCTTGTTTCGTTTTCCTCTCGGATCTAGCCTGATTTCGAAACCCTAGATTGTGAGGAGGCGGCTCTTAGATATGCTCCGCCGGAATGTGAGTGTGATGTAGATCTGGTGTTGGGTTTCCATTTTAAGGGGGTTTCCCGTCCTTCTTCTTCTTCCCCTTTGATGAACTGAACCCCCCAACCCAATCGGCGCCACTGCTGGACATGACGCCCTGTGAAGAAGCCGATGGATGCAGAGGAGAAAGAAAAGCCTCGCCCTCTACTCGCCGTTTCTTGGAATCCGTCCACCCAGAATCAATTCCCCTACCTCTCTTTCCTCTCTCGTTACCTTGGTAATATCAATTCAATCGATTTCCCCTGCCTTCACAAGATCAAGATATCCCCTGGTCACGTCCCTATTATCCCCCCTTACGATTTAAGGAGAGAGACTGCGTGAAAACACAGTCCTGTGGCGTCAATTCTCTTTCTCTCTCTCCCTAATTGCGATTTTGCCAACACTCTAAGAAATGGCAGCCGGTGGCGTCGTGTTCATTTGCTGCTGCAGGGAGCTGAGGAGCGGGTTCCCGGAGCACCTGTGCGCGGGACTACGGGAAGCCGGACTGACAGCGGTGATGGGCGGAGGAGATCTGCCCAAAGGGGTGAACATGAGGGACGCGATCCGGTGGGCAATCGAAGATTCGAGCTTCTCCGTCGTGATTCTCAGCCGCGAATTTGCTTCCTCACAGTTCCGCCTCGACAAGGTCGTCCATATCAAGGAGTAGCACGCTGCGGGTATCGAGCTTCTTGTCGCCGGAGGAAGATGTGGGTTAATCCAGCTTGGGATTGAAGAAGAGAACGATTAATTGTGTCCCAAAAAATAATCCACAAATCATATATGTTTTTGTTTTTTATTTTGTAATTTTATTTTTTTATATGAAAAATAATTATAAATTAATAATAAAAGTTCCACGTCAAATGCCACATAAGCGCTAACTAGACTTTTTGTTAAAAACTAACGGTCAACGCTAATCAACTCTAACAAAAAAATAGTTTAGGACACAAATGTCATATCAAATATTTTAGGACACAAATGACACAAAATTAATAGTTCAAATTTCCTAATGATATTAGTACTTTTAAAACTATATTTGTCTTTGTTTAATGTCTTTTTTTCCCCTCTCCAACATCTTACAACAATGCTAATTAATCCATTTTTGTCATATGGGTTTAGGACAACCACGTAATGTCCAACTTCTGTTTCTACCAATAACCAACCATAACCATAGTCCAGTGCAATCACACCTCTTCTTCTCTTATCATTTTTTTTTATTTAGAAGGAAACTACTTCTTTGATCTTTCAGTTTATAGTGTTTTCATCAAAACAAACACCACACTAGTTGTTCATATTCATTTAATTTTTCTTTTAGGTGGAAAATGGGCAGATAAATAAAACCACTTTTTTTTCTAATGAAAACAAATCATTGCATGAACTTCAACAAATGCTAACATGAAAATGGTACACAATATATGAGGTCACGATAATTCTTTTATGAGAAGGTGCTATAGGTTTTTGCTTTTATAGTACAACTTAAAATTGTACATTTATGTTATGGTACAACTTCAGATTGTACCTATACTTTTTGTGCAAATTCTTTTACGGTATAACTTGAACTTGTACCTTTATGTGATGGTACAATTTCAAGTCGTAAAGTTGTACCATAACATAATGGTACAAATTACTTTATGGTACAACCTAAACTTATACATTTAATGGTATGATACAACTTTGAGTTGTAAATTAAAACACCAATGCTATATAGCAGAGTAGAAGTGCTCTTCTTTTATATGTTATTTATGTCTACTACAATGTATAAGTGCGCGTATGTTGGCCCAACAAAGCACTATAAACAATAGTTTGACATTTCACTTTAAAAAATCAGAGAAAAACTTATCTCTCTGTTTTCAAACAAAATCCTTTTATCAGTTGATACATTTGCTTCTATTGTTGTAAGTGAGTCCCAAGTCCCAACTCCGACAACAAGACATTGCTAATATTTGTAAGGGTTAATAATATTTTGTACCCTTCTACTATTTCAAATTAACAAACGTACCTCTCTACTAAATTTTTATACAAACATACCGTTCTAATATTAAAACGTAACAGGTATACCCCTCCATCCAATTTTCTGTTAATTAACCGTTTAGTGGGTTCAAAATTGACCGAAATACCCTCATTTTAATTTTTTATAATTTTTTATTACAAGTCAGAGCTCAATTAAAAATTAAAACAAACCCTAAAACCTATCACCATTATGTTCGACAGAACCCTTCGGTATTCCTCAGTCATCCGCCGCCGTCGACGTAGAGAGTTTCACGCCAATCAACCAGGCAGCACCCAGCTTGTCCTCGACAGCAGCTGGAGCAGGCTTCAGCGGGCGGCGAATACACGACGCTGGAAAGCGACGAAAAGCAGTGGGTGATCGTTTGGTAGGGGTGAGACTCGACGAGTCCGCTGCCAGAGACTTCTGCTACCCCTCTGCGACGGTAGAGCTAATGAGAACATTATTTTTGTGTTGAAAATCCATTTTGTAAATTGGTTGCTTGTGCTCACCACTTACTATTGATGTATGAAATTGAATTTGCTTACTGATTCTGTAACTCTGTAATCTTTTTCCGTATTCACTGTTTGCTTGATTTACTGTTTTGAAAACCTCAATATATATCTTGGTGGCTTTTCGCAAGGGTAATCTTTCGTTGTGGTTTAATAAAAGGTAAAATGGAGGGAGAAGAAGCTGCAGGAGTCGACTCCTGGAGAAAGCTGGATGGTTTTAGCTCCAGCCATCCAACCGCCGGCGAGGAAAAGCACGGTGCAGCCGCTGCCGAGGGCAATTAAGCAGGCGCGCCGGAGTGTGGGCAGTCTTCGACGGTTGCGGGTTGTTGAGGAAGACGACAGGTTCCTAGGTGGAAGAGAATGATATGGATTTCAGGGTAGATTTCAATTTTAATTAGGCTTTGACTTGTGATAAAAATGATAGAAAAATAAAAATAAAAATAAAAATAAATGAGGGTATTTGGGTAATTTTTTAGTCTACTTAACGGTACATTAACAGAAAATTAGACAGAGGGGTATGTTTGTTACATTTTAATACTAGAAGGGTATGTTTGTGCAAAAATTTAATAGAGGGGTAGGTTTGTTAATTTGTAATAGTAGAGGGGTACAAAATACTATTAACCCTATTTGTAACATTAAACTAAAATCTAAACTGAAAATGAGGATAATGCTATCTATGAGCACTGACTTACCTATGAGTTCAATGATGGAAAACCATATGTTTATCAATACTTGACAATATCGCAACGATAAAACAATCAAACTCACGATCATTGATCAACTGGCCTTGGATTCGATTCTGGTAACTCCTCCTTCCTCATGCAAGGGAAACTATATATTCACTACCATCAACAGGAACTACAACGTTGTAATGTATATAGTTATAGTATATGAGTAATTGAGGTTAGCTCAGTCTGCTAAACTTAACTAAATATCAGCCCATGGCCAAAATCAGTTTTTGTTTTTGTTTTTTTTTACAAATTACTCCCCGCCAAACCCTTTTCACCTAATTACTTTCTAGTCCTTCACAAATTAACTCCCGGCCAATCGAGTCCTTTTCTTTTAGTTTCACCTCTGCCACGCCATTCTATACCCTCCTCCTCCTTCCGCAGTGAGGCCGCCGTACCACCGCCGCACCAGCGACTTCAGCCGATCGTCCCTCACCTCGCAGAACCGCCGCTCCCAATCCCCCGGCTTCACCGGCTCGAACCCCAGTCCGGGGGCCCGATCCTTGGACGCCGGATTCACCGCCCTCCTCCAATCGACCACGTACGCCGACACCCTCCGCCGGAACTTCGCCCTGAACTCCGACCACGCCTGGTACTTGTAATGGTTCACCACCGCCGCCTCCATTCCCACCTGCTTCGTCCTAAACAACTTCCCCCCTTCTCCTCCCCCGCCGCCGCGCAATCGGAAGTGATGCACGGCGTTCAGCAGCGAATCGTCGATCGCTTCCAGCAGCACGATCGACTTGTGCCGGTTGTCCAATTTCCTCCGGCAGTCGTACCCCTGGGTCACCCCGTCGGGCGGGTGGGTGACCCGACCCGAAGGCCCGAACTCGTTGCACCGAATCGTGACCTGCCCGACGACCCGGCCCGCTGATTTCTTCCGCGGAATTAGGGATTTGAGCATGCGATCCGACGGCTGAGCGGCGGAGTTCCACCGCGGGGAGAAGAGGAACTCGTCGACGTCGATGTACATCATCCAATCGCAGGATTCCCGCGCGTAGACCGCGGCGTGGGAGAATCCGGCCTCCTGCGTCTTCGCCCAAATCCACGGCACCGTTTCCACTCTATAACCTTCCCGATTCAGCTCCCCGACGACGATTCCCAATCCGTCGTCGCTTCCGTTGTCGTAGAGGAAGAATTTCTCGACGCCGATTCCGGAGTGGTAAATCACCCACTCCTTGAGGAACTTGGCGGCGTTGTACACCATCGTCGCCGCGCAGATTTGCAGCTTCGCTTCCCCCACCACGACACTGCTCCGCCGCCAGGGGGAGTAGTGCGCCACCGAAGGGACACGAACTCCGTCGGGGAGCTCCAGCGTGAGTCTGACGCCCTCCGTCACGTTTTTACCATACCCCGTCAAATCAGGGTGAGCGCACCGGAAAACCTCCTGCTCGGAGCTCGTCACGGCGGTGGTTTTCACCGCGGAATCATCGGGATTGCCGAACACGCACTTGAGCTCGTGAGCTGGACGATTGACTCCTTGCTTGTTGTTTACGCCTTTGACGAACAAAACGACGTCGCTCTCCGTCGACAAAGACTCGTACGCCAGAAATGTCCACCTCAGCAGCGGTTTCGTCGTCTTCCTGGTAGCAAAAGAAGAAGACAATTTTTCTTCTTTCCCCCCTTCTGCTGGACTCTTCCTCCGGACGAGCACCGGCGATTGCAGACGCCGGCGGCACTTCTCCGGCATCCAGCACGTGAAAATCGACTGATTCGTGGCCCGCAAGTTTCCCGAGAACCTCGCCGGGGAAGTCGCCTTGTTCGGATAAACGCACAGAAATCCCGATTCCTCCTCCTCCCCTGAAATTCCCGCCGGTCCAATCACGACCACCTCCCAGTCGGGGAACAAAATGGAGACGGATTCCAAATTCTCTCGAGCCTCCGGGACCGAAGATTTATTGAGGTGGTCGGCCGATTCCCGGACGGCGCTGTTGGAAGGGAAAGCGGAGAGGTTGGGGCGGGCGGCGACGACGGTGGGAGCAACGGCGGCGGAGGGGGAGTAGTCGAAGGAGCGGAGGAGGAGTTGGTTTGGGGAGAGGGAGAGGAAGATGGAGAGCGAGACGAAGAGGAAGAGGCAGAGGAGGAGGAAGGCGCAGCGGCCGCGCGTGGTGGTTTCGAAGAGGCGGGAGCTGGCGGCGGGGACGGGAAGGAGAAGGGGAAGAAGGCGAGGAGGAGCCTTCATGATCGAGAGGAAATTTCTCCTTTTTTTAATTATTATTGGGGGTCTGGAATTGGAATTTTGATTGAACTGGAATTTAATGGAAGGGGCTACGGCTTTACTTTACTTTGCTACTTGCCTTAACAGTAGGAAGACGAAAGGAGAGGAAGTCTGAAAGGATATAAAGCAAAAAAGACCAATCCCGATTCCGATATTAATTAGGAAACTAGTAATTAATTAAGGAGTGTTTGTATTTTTTTTTCTTAATACTTTCAATAAACTTCGAGTGTGTTTGAATTTGATATATTGATATTAGATATCACAATAAGATGAAGCAATATATCTCTCCCATATATATGGAGAATCCAACGCATTTAATAAATACTTAATTTACTATAAAAATATAAATACATACTTTATTTGGGGCTTAGGGGTAAAAAAAAGAGCTAACACTGGAAAAGTAAAGTAGAATTGAAGGGAATGATGCTTTTAAAAATGTATCACACTTGAGGACACGCAAAAGAAATAGGATGAGATTAGGACAACTAATGCTAAACAGCTCTTTAAATGGAACAAGGGATGGTAATGGTTCGGGTCGGGGCGGATAGCGCATATTCGTTACCCTACTCAAAGTAGTTTGGGTTTTACCCATATCCACATAAGAAATGGGTAGAAAAATAAAATCATGTCCATACCCGTTCGGAATTCGGGTATCCACGGTTATCCATGGATAATAATTTCTCTTCATAACTCCAACCAATATGTTGATATTCACGCGTATTCTCACATTACGTAAGAGGAAAAGTACAACAATAATTCACTAGAATGAAGAAAATTAATTAAAACAACACAATTTCACTAAAATACTATATTTATATGCTAAATATTAAATATGTTACAGAAAAATAATGATTATTTCTAGACAAAATACATATGAATGTGTATAATCGGGAGGGTTCGGGTTGGATAGTGAGAAACCTATGTCCACCCATGCAATATTTGGGTACCCACTAAAAGTCCTTCGAGTTCGGGTTTTACCCTACCCAATTGGGTCGGATTCGGACGAATATCCACAGTTACAAATATTTTTTCCATCCCTAAATGGACCTAATCAAATTACTACTTTCTTTAAACTTAATATGTAAAGTTATATGCCAATCTACTATTTAGAAAAATCGTTAAACGTTTCGAAGATGTTTCACCAAATCGTGTATCTAACATCATCGTGTATATGTAGTTTCGTTAAGATTGTCATAGTATATAAATCTAATTGGCCGCCAGTAAAAATAAGCTTAATCTGGGCATGCAGGCGGCGGCGGCTTGGCCTATGCTGTGCCTGAGTGAGTTCGATTTTTGGAGCTTGTGATGAATTCTTATGACCTACGCCTTCATCCCGAGAGAGAGAGAGAGAGAGAGAGAGCTCTTCTTTGGCAACGTTTAATCCAAATTCCAACAGCAAATAAATACCAAAGCAGTCTGTTTTGACCATGCTTAAATGTTAACGACGGTTTCCAATTTGACTTAATTATAAACCTAGTGACCGCATTAAATCCTCTCTATCCAAACCAAAATTAACCCAACTAATTCAATGCTGAGGCAATCCAAATGGTCGCCCGTCGTCAATTGTCCAGTCTCGAATTTAATTTCCTTATTGTGGTAAAATAATTGTGATAGCTTGTATGGGTTGACTGTAAGTATGTACAAATACCGTGATAATATATCTCATTCTTTATAGAGTGAGTTAAACTAAATACATTTTTTTGTCAGAGCTCTTGGTACAAATCAAATCGTTTTCCTAAGAAGGAAGTAGTAGAATTAGTCAGAACGTCCTCGAGACAGAAAGAGCCCCTTGCAGGTTTCCTCACAAATATGATAATCTTGCAGATTTCTTATTGTATTAGAGTCTAGCTAGTTCAGACTTCAAGGATTTTACGCCCTCACATGCGTTCTTCCTCTCTCATTTACCTAATCGACGATGGTTGCTACTTCAATTAACTCGTCGGTCTCCAACTACGTACATATGCGACTACCTTGTCTTCTACCTCAACCGCAATCCTACCACGTACTTGCCCCCTCCGCATTCACACACCCATACTGCATAAACCCTAATCTATGACTGGGTTTTCTTGTCAAGCTGACAAACGCTGTTAATTACGATTCATGGAGCATAATTAACTATTTGAGTAGCTCTCAGGAGCGAGAACGAGTTAGGTTTCATTAGTTGATTAGTTTCAACTCCACATTCACTTGATGAGAATTATGCAACCCGTGAACAAAGCAACGATGTTGTCTACTTTCTCATATTCAGATCTTTGGATCTCAAACTTGTTCATCGTGTCTCTTCATACCATATATGTCTTCCTTCTCCTTCTATTGGTGCCACACTAGATCATAACTCCTTTTCTCCATTGCATGTCTTTTCACCGACCCATGAAACTACATAAAACACCCCATAAAATCTACACATATTCCATAACATAACTCTCCTTATTCACCTAATTCAACCTAGTTATCTTCTCAACTTATCCCTTCTCCAATCCCTTTACCATCAATGGTAGTACACCAAACTCCCTCTCCTTCCACTCTTCCCATTGCTCTTCGAAAACCACCAAAACAACTTGTAAAACCTGTGAAAATATCCAATGGTTGCTTACCTATCATATGACACGTTGTCACCATGATACAAGAAGTATGATTTTGTAGTTGAGACAAATGTGATTCCTACTACATTTGAAGAAGCAATAAAACTGGAATGTTGAGATAACGCCATGAATAATGAACTTTAGGCATTGACAACAAATTAGACATGGGACTATGGGAGGGTTTCGAAATCTCCTGGGAAGAGGACTATAGGTAATAAATGAGTTATACTATCAAGTTTCATCCCAAAGGATCTATAGAACGATATAGAGTTAGGCTTGTAGCCAATGGCTTTACTCAAATATATGGGATTGACTTTCTTGACACATATTCATCGGTTGCCAAGTTTAACTATGTCAAAACCTTGTTAGCTCTTGCTACAACCAAGAACTGGAAACAATTTCAGTTAGATTTGAGTAATGTGTTTTTCCATGTAGATCTTAAAGAAGAAGTGTACATGGACTTACCACCTGGTATTTATGACTTTGGACATGTCTTTCGCCTCAAGAAGTCTCTATGGTCAGAAACATGCATCCAGACAATGGTTCTTCAAACTCACATCTTCGTTACCTAGATTTGGTTATACTTAGTCAAATGTTGATAACTCCATGTTTATCCATCACAGTGCAACTTTTGGTATTTCTATTCTACTTGTTTATGTAGATGACATCATCGTTGTTGGTGATAATGTTAGGTATGACAGATTTAAAAGATTTCTTGCATTCCCAATTCAATATTCATGATCTTGACAAGCTTCATTATTTCTTGGGATTAGAGAATGCTCGATCATAAGGGATATACATATCGGCCATAAGTAGTACTATACTGATGTATTGGAGGATAATGGATATGCAGATACCAAGCTAGTTGTCACCCTCATTGACATGAAAACTAGACTATCTACTAATGATGGACCATTGTTGGAAGATGTGTCTCTTTTTCAGGAAAATTGTTGGATGATTCACTACCTCACCAACACACGTCATGATCTCACATTTGTAGTCCAAAAATTATGCCAATATGAAGATACTCTCACGATTTACCATATGCATCTTGCTTACGAAATTTTCAAGTACCTAAAGAATGCTTCAGGTCAAGAATTGTTCTACTCATCCATGTCTGATCTTCTTTTTTCGTGATTTTAGTGATTTTGATTGGGCTTCATGCCTAGATACAAGATGATCGACTACATGATGTTTCATTGGGTAAATGTATGATCATTTGGAAATTCAAGAATTAGAAATTTCTTTCTCGTTCATCATCTTAAACTGAGTATAGGGGTCTTGCTCAACTTACTTGTGAAGTTGTATGGGTGAAGGGACTTATGCAAGAACTACATGTTGATCATCCCACCTTGTAGAACTCTTATGTGACGATCGACCAGTGATATACATTGCTAAAAACTCAGTGTTCCATAAAAAGACGAAACCCATTCTGATTAATTGTCATGGGGTTTGTCAATTCCTCAAGTCCAAAATTATCTCTCTCATCATCTTTGGTGCCGAGAACCAGATATAATATATGTTCACAAAGGGACAGAGCATATTTCGTCTTCAATTCATGTGCAAGCTGAATATACATAACTGTACACACTTCAAGAGATTAGCATATATATACTGGGTATTGTAGAACTCCCCGTATATATATACCTTAAGGGTTTCCCACAAATATAATTCTCTTACAAATTTCTTAACAACCACTCTATGATACTAGAAACAATAACACGGTATACACCAAATAATTTTGCACCTACCACCTTGGTCAAACTCTTTATTAATTACTCTTCTCATGGATTGCCTGGAAAATTTAGTGACCTTTCTTAATAATCTAATAGGTTCTTATATATAAATAAATGGATGAGACTGCTATACTGCTTGAGTATGTATATGATATTCAAGCTATTTTTGGTGGAATATCTTTATCTACACCATGAATTAAATCGATTTTGGGATATATCTAGCCGTCAGATCACCTGGATGAAGTCTTTACCGTGTATATAGTTTATATATATATGGGGAGTTCTACGGTACTCAGGGTGAAATTTGGGGTACCGCATACCTTGAGTAAGAAAACACTATCCAGAACTTGAATTGACTAATCTTTCGGACATGATACTATATTCTAACCCTTAAAGATCAACATCTAGGTCTTAATTCACTAAATCTTATACTTCAAGATCAATTTAATTAGAAACAATAATCGACTATTATGATTCGTCCAAATATAGGCAAAAAAATCAATGCACCATCCTAGAGTTTATAGTTTATGATTTAGATAATTAGGACGTAGGGTACACTCATTAAGGGTTAGGGTATAGTATCATGCCCAAAAATCCTGCTAATTCAAGGTCTAGATAGTGTTTTCATACTCAAAGCATGCAATACCCCTGATTTCACCCGAGTTACCTTAGAAGTCACTGTATATATTAACTATCCAATATGAAATGATCATTCTCTCAAAACAAACGCATCATCATTTTTATTATTAATCACATTAGCATAAGGATATGAAACATATACACATGCATCGTTAGCAACGAACGATCCTTAGAGTGCATGTTCCGGAAAACGACCGCAACCCAGCAAGAACCACCTAGTCTTGTCCATTTTTGGCTCCATATTATTTTCGCAAATAGCACGTAACGTAGAAAACCTAGGAAATTAATTCATTTACTTTTATGTATTGTTATTGTCGATCGTGATTCGTGAAACATAATACATAGCAAACATCAACTCGAGAAAAAGGCTAAATAGCTTACCACTTTATTAGAGACATATCGCAAAATGTTTCTTCTTCTGCTTAACCTCTCCCTTTGTACGTATTTCTTTCTCCTACTACAAAAATAGCTTTCCATTACTTTTGTAATACAAAAATATAGGAATTAAAAGAGCGTACACAAACAATGAAATTAATGAGATATAAAAAAAATATAGGTGTAATCCCTTTATTCCATTTTGAGAGGACTATTAAGAGGTTATTTGTTTTAGGTTGGGTGACTAACCCAGCTCCACGGTTACCCATCCCGACCCCGATAAAGCGGTTATAATTTATTTTTGATGGATTTTAGGTTGAGTGTAGGTTTAACCTCTTTTGAATAATTGGCGGGTTAGATTTGAATTTTTCCAAAACTCAACACACTTTCCACTCTATCCACAACCAGAAAGAAAGATGATGTCATTTTATATCTAAACTTAACACTATGAATAAATTATAAGTGTTATTAGAATGCAATTAGTATTTATGTAAATATATGTGAATAAATTTTTTGGATAATATTATGATGTTTGTGTTCAAAAAAATAAATTTTGATTATGTTTGTGAACACTGAAATATTCATGCACTATTTAAATTGAGTTGAATTTTACTATTTTAAAACTCAATTGATATTTTATCGGATTTTATTGTGTGTGCATACGTTGGATTAGATTTGAGTTTAGAGCAACCCGACTCGACCCGATTTATTATCATCCTTGATCTTCATTCCTCTCATGTCCATTCACCCTCCCTTAATATTTATCTAATAATGAAAACGGAAACAAGAAAACATAATTGCAACTTTAAGTTAATACATAATAGTTTTGTGGTAGTTCATTTGTGAAAATATTGTAAAGGGCTCGCGTTCATTCTCTTGGAACGATCCACATCTTGAACATGCCTTCACCTACGGTCAGTAGTGAAGATAGAAAATTGGTCAAAGAGTGTTTTCTTCGTATCATAATTAAAAATCAACTAAACAAAATAAAAAGTCAATAATATACTACTCAATACTCGTATAATTACAAAATAATAGTTTGGCTCAAATCGTTTATAATGAACCGCAGCGAAATTCTATACTCTGAAAGTATTGTAGAACACATTCATGGTCCAAATTAACACACAAGTTTTGTTGATCAATATATATATATATCAGTAGCACATCATTCATTCGGATTTGATGATCGTACGTTCTTTGATATAGTCCATGAATGCAAATAATCGCTCTACACTTGTGGTTGCAACAGACCGAATAAATGATAACTTGAGAAACAAATAAACATATCGATACAATTTATTTGTAATTGTATCCATTTTTTTTCTCTTTCTAACTCATCAACTCCCTTATAAGTATATGAACTTGTTATCAAATGATACATAACAAATATATTGAACCCCACGATCCAATCTTCTCAATGCTTTTTCATTTGGTTCTCTGATTACGAAATTACTTTTGAGGAAAACCATCATAGTCTCCTTTTAATTCAAGAGGGAAATACCATGTGGTTTGGACTTTACATATCTATCCCCATAAAACAACGCCTTTGATCTCTCTATATCCCATTGGACAAGTATGCTTGCACGAGGAGTTAGGCTTTTTTGAGCTTTTCTTGCTCGCCATCGATCTCAAGGTCCCATAGCTAGAGCTGGTCTCCAATTCACACGAATTATATATATACACAAAGCAGTACCGTTGCTTGCCCGAATTCCTGCTTTATTATACCTGGCTATAAAATAAAATGAAATGAAACCTTCGCCCGATAATCACATGGAACGTGGGGAAAAGAGGGGACACAATATGACTTCATTATCAGGGAATACTATAGAATAGAATCAAATAATTCTATGCTTTAATTGTGCTAAAAGTTAGCTCTTATTATTATGCGTGTTCTCAAGTACTATTCATTCACTATAAAAATATGAATTATACATATGTCCCTCGAAATTTGCTTCAACACTCTTCCCCGATCCCCATATATATCCCACACAAAAAATTATTAAGTGCGACATAAATGATATATGTAGAATGTTAGAGGGGTAATTAATACTATCCTTTGGTTTAAAACAAAACAATATCTCTCCTTCAGTTTGACTTCGAATCGCAAAAGTGAGTGGCTTTGTGGTGAAATTTATCAATGATAAAAATTATCAGAAAGTTTTTGACAACATGACCATGGGTCATCTTGGAACTGTGGAATCTCAAATATCTGTATGTTTTACATTGATGACTGAGGAGACTATTTATACATGATGGATACAGGAGCAATGCACAAACGTGGGTAGTGGAGGAATAATAGGAACTGTATAACAGAAGGTTGTTGAGGACTGATAGTTGTTGGAGTGTCTGGAGACCCGGTCTCCCTTATCACGCCCCCGCAAGTTGACGGTGGGTAACCTTCAACTTGGTCCGGAAATGCAAGAAGCGCTGTCGAGGTAGAGGCTTCGTGAGGAGATCGGCAATTTGATCCTCTGTGGAGATGTAGCGAACAAGAAGCTTGCCTGCAGCAACACGTTCACGTACGAAGTGGAAATCAATTTCCATATGCTTGCTACGGGAGTGAAAAACGGGATTGGCGGTGAGATACGTGGCTCCTAGATTGTCACACCAGAGTTTGGGTGGTGAAGGCAGGGTGTGACCAATTTCTGATAATAGAGACTCTATCCATATGATCTCGGCTGCCAAAGTTGCTAACGCCTTGTATTCTGCTTCGGTCGATGAACGGGCGACGGTGCGTTGTTTGCGAGATGACCAGGAGATGAGGTGGGAGCCGAGGTAGATGGCATAGCCGGTGGTGGAGCGGCGATCGGGAACGGAGTTGGCCCATGCGGCATCGGAGTAGCCGGAGAGTATCAGAGGAGAAGATGTGCTGAAGAAGAGACCGTGAGTGGATGTGCCCTTGAGGTAACGGAGAATTCGCTTGACGTCAGCCCAATGATGCTGTAGAGGAGCGTGCATATGCTGGGCGGTGTAGTTGACAGCCTGAGAGATATCTGGTCGAGTGAACTGGAGGTATTGCAGGGCGCCAACTATTTGGCGGTATAGAGTGGGATCTGTGAAAGGGGACTGGTCAGGTTCCTTAGTTGCCGGCGCCGCAGGGGTGGAGATGGCGTTGGCATTGGTCATCTGGGCACGATCTAGTATTGCTTGGATGGACTTTTCTTGAGTGAGCAGGAGACCCTTTGGGTTCCAAATAGCTTGAATGCCCAGAAAGTAGTTGAGGCTCCCCAAATCTCGAACTGCAAATTTTTTCTGCAGATAAAGGAGAACAGAATGCAAGGCGTTGCCTTGGTTGCCGGTAAGCAAAATATCATCAACATAAACGAGCACATAGAGGCGGAGAGATCCGCGACAGAGGATAAACAGTGATGGGTCAGTTTGGGATCCCTTGAAACCGTAAGATTCCAATGCTTCACGAAGACAATGAAACCAGGCTCGTGGTGCTTGTTTGAGGCCGTAGAGGGATTTGCGGAGGTGACAGACATGAGAAGGGCGAGCTGGATCGACAAAGCCGGGAGGCTGGTGCATATAGACATCTTCGGACAGAGTGCCGTGTAGAAATGCGTTGGTGATGTCCAATTGGCGGATCGGCCAGCGCTGCGCAACCGCGAGAGATAGAATGAGACGAAGGGTCGTCGGCTTGAGGACGGGACTGTATGTTTCGCCAAAGTCGATGCCGGGTCGCTGTTGAAAACCACGGGCGACCAGCCGGGCTTTGTAGCGCTCGACAGAGCCGTCAGCGCGAGTCTTGATCCGAAAAACCCACTTGCAGGAGATGAGGTTTTGGTCTGTGGCAGGCGGAATGAGCCGCCAGGTCTGGTTGCGGAGCAGGGCGTTGTACTCCTCAATCATCGCGGCACGCCATTGGGGATCCTGGAGGGCTTGGCGGGCAGTTTTGGGAATCGGGGGAAGAGGCGAGGTAGTGGATAAAAAAGTTTTAGGTTTTAGATTGCCGGTCTTGTACCTTGTGCGCATATGATGAGAGGGCGGGGGATGAGTCTGGGTGCGAGAAATTGGACGAGGAGAAGAAGTAGGATTGGAGGTGGCAGGTCGCAAGGGTCGGCCGACGGTGGAGATTGGATGACGGGAGAGTGTGGAGCTTGGTCTTGTGGGGGGAGGTAAGGGAATGATTGGTTGGGCTGGGATGTGAGGAGAGGAATGAGTAGATATGTAGTGGGCTGGATGGGCCTGTTGGTGGAGTGAAGATGAGGAGAAGGGATGGTGGGTTGGACGGGTGAAGGGGATGTAATGGGCCTGGTGGGCTGATTTGTGGGGAGATTAAGTGGGGAAGTGGTGGAGAGTGGTACGGGTGGAGTGGGGAAAATATAGCGAGGGCAGGGAAGGAGAGTGGGCCCAGACGAGGGAGGAGTAATGGAAATGGTATTTAGAGTGTGAAATTTGGGATCAGAGAAAGGAAAACAATGTTCATCGAAAAGAACATGACGGGATATATGAACCTTGTTTGTAGTCAGATTGTAACAACGATAGCCTTTGTGAGTAGCGCTATACCCAAGAAAGACACAAGGAGTGGAACGGGGCTGAAGTTTGTGGCGAGTGGTGGGACGAAGCCAAGGATAGCAAAGGGTGCCAAAAATTCGAAGAGTGGAGTAGTCAGGTGTTTGAGAGTAGAGAAGTTCAAGAGGAGTGCGATTGGCCAGTAAAGAAGTGGGCATTCGATTAATAAGATAGACGGCGGTGTCAAAGGCATAAGACCAGAATTTGAGTGGAACAGAAGCATGATGGAGAAGAGCCAAACCGGTTTCGACAACATGACGATGTTTGCGTTCGGCGCAACCATTTTGTTCGGGAGTGTAGGGGCAGGAGGAGCGATGAACAATGCCATGATCTTTGAGATAAGCCCCTAATTTTTGATACTCTCCACCCCAATCGGCTTGAAAGATTTTGATGGGGCGATCGAAGAACTTTTCAACTTGAGTTCGAAAATGGATAAATATGGAGAGAAGATTGGAACGATGACGAGTGGGAAATATCCATGTAAATTTGCTGAAGTGATCATAAAATAATATATAATAAAGATGAACATCGACAGACAGTTCAGGGGATGGACCCCAAACATCGCTACAAATTAAATCGAGTGGACCAGAGGCCTGATAAGTAGAAGGAGAAAAAGGTAGCTTATGAATTTTGGCAACACTACAACCATGACACAAATGAACCTCTTGTTTATTGGAGACAGGAATAGAATTGCGATGTAGAATTTGACGAAGAACACGGGAGTGAGGATGACCCAAACGTTGGTGCCAGTGAGAGAGAGTGGAGTGGAAAGCATGGGGATCAACTTGAGAGAGGATGGAGAGTGGCACCGAGTAGAGCCCATCTTTACTCCGGCCTTGATGGAGGATTTGCTGGGAGCGCGTGTCCTTAATGATGAAAGAGTCATTAACAAAATGGATGGATAAGGGATTAGTGCGAGTAATTCTCTGCCCATCTCCCACTCTGGTTCATCTATTGCCACTTTTAGTCAACATCCGTTACATCTTACCAATATTCTTCATGTTCCCTCTGCCTCTCATAATCTGCTTTCTATCAATTCTATTACTCGCACTAATCCCTTATCCATCCATTTTGTTAATGGCTCTTTCATCATTAAGGACACGTGCTCCCAGCAAATCCTCCATCAAGGCCGGAGTAAAGATGGGCTCTACTCGGTGCCACTCTCCATCCTCTCTCAAGTTGCTCCCCATGCTTTCCACTCCACTCTCTCTCACTGGCACCAACGTTTGGGTCATCCTCACTCCCGTGTTCTTCGTCAAATTCTACATCGCAATTCTATTCCTGTCTCCAATAAACAAGAGGTTCATTTGTGTCTTTCTTGGGTATAGCGCTACTCACAAAGGCTATCGTTGTTACAATCTGACTACAAACAAGGTTCATATATCCCGTCATGTTCTTTTCGATGAACATTGTTTTCCTTTCTCTGATCCCAAATTTCACACTCTAAATACCATTTCCATTACTCCTCCCTCGTCTGGGCCCACTCTCCTTCCCTGCCCTCCCTATTCTGGTATCAGAGCCTTATGTGACCAAGAGGTCTTGTGTTCGATTCCCGGTGACCCCCATTTGTTAAGCACATGGTATTCTTGTCTTCAGACCTGTGCAAACTTCAAGCCCTTGTGAGTGGGTTTCGTTTGAGGGGGCGTGTTAGTGTTGTGGTATATGATCCACGATTGAACCTCTCCCAACAACTCGAGTTATTGGGATCAACTGGTTCTTGACATGGTATCAGAGCTGGTTTGGCCAAGTGGTCATGTGTTCGAATCTCCACGACCCCCAATATTAACCTTTGATTAAAGCACAAGGTATGGTGGGCCTGTGCAAACTTCAAGCCCATGGGTTGGCTTTCGTTTGAAGGGGCGTGTAAGAGTGTGGTATAAGATCCAGCAGAACCTTCTCCCAACAACTCGAGTTATTGGGATCAACTGGTTCTTGACATTGTTAGTGTTGTGGTATATGATCCACGATTGAACCTCTCCCAACAACTCGAGTTATTGGGATCAACTGGTTCTTGACATGGTATCAGAGCCTTCTGTGACCGAGAGGTCTTGTGTTCGATTCCCGGTGACCCCATTTGGTAAGCACATGGTATTCTTGTCTTCAGACCTGTGCAAATTTCAAGCCCTTGTGAGTGGCTTTCGTTTGAGGGGGCGTGTTAGTGTTGTGGTATATGATCCACGATTGAACCTCTCCCAACAACTCGAGTTATTGGAATCAACTGGTTCTTGACAAGACGGTCAGCAATTTCCTGCGCACGAGTCAGATACTTAGCACAGGAGTCACTGCCACGGGAGAGCTCGCCGAGTTGGGTGCGGAGACTGCGGAGAGTTTGGCGGTTGCCGGAGCCATAGGCCAAAGCGAGACGAGTCCAAGCATCAAGGGCGGTGCAGCAGCCGACCAGTCGCGAGAGGACGGAATCAGTGAGGGAGCCGGCGATCCAGGAGAAAACTAGTTGATCCCGGCGAAGCCAGGCAGTGTAGGCTGGGTTCAATTCTCCACCGGGAAGGAGGCGATCAGGAGCGGGGAAGCTACCATCAACGAATTTGGAGAGATCAAAACTGGTGAGAAGGGGCAGAAGCTGCATTCGCCAAAGAAGGTAATTGGTAGATGTAAGTTTGACGGAGATATGAGGGGCCGGGGGTGGGGTGAAGGTATAGAGAGAGGCATCAGAATTGGGTAGAGGGCCAGTGGTCTCAGAGGTAGAGCAGACAGTGGTTGACATGGTGGAGAAGAAGAAAAAATCGGGAAAAGAGGAGATGAAAAAGGGAGGAAGGGAGGGGAATTCTAATTTGCCGTTAGGCTGGGCAGCTCTGATACCATGTGGAATCTCAAATATCTATATGTTTTACATTGATGACTGAGGAGACTATTTATACATGATGGATACAGGAGCAATGCACAAACGTGGGTAGTGGAGGAATAATAGGAACTGTATAACAGAAGGTTGTTGAGGACTGATAGTTGTTGGAGTGCCTGGAGACCCGGTCTCCCTTATCAGGAACATCATCTTGCATTGATCCATGGACATTCGAGTTCATAATTTACAAGAAAAGAGTTTTGGAGAATCTCCTACTCTTTGTTGACCAATCCCAATTTCAGAGAAACCACGTAAGTCATGTGTCATGTTTGTTTTTGTTTTTGTATTTCCTAGTTAATCAAGTTTGGTATGAACAACATGGTATCTGAGTTTTTTTTAATAGATTCTGACAGGATGTGCATTCTTTTGAACTCCAAGAACTATTCCTTATAGGGGCTCTATTTCTGTGTGTTTCTCGAAAGCAAGGAGCTCCTTTCGTTTCTGAATGGTACGTCACCTAGATTGGTTGTTCATCCTTCTTTTGAGAAGGATCTGTCAATTTGGTTACAAAAAAAATTATCGGGTTGGATTTCCTGTTGAGCTTAGTTGATCCCACAATATGATTGGGTATTCGCTTGATGTCAACGACAAAGAATATATGGGATCATCTATCCAAGACCTACATTGCAAACACCACGAATGGAAAATTCAAAATTCAACTCTAGCTTGCTCAATTAGAACAAGAAGATATGGATGTTACAACCTAGTATAATGTTGCACATATGCTATGGATCGAACATGATCTGTTGACGGTGTTGTTTCGATCGGCAGAGGCTTCAACTGAGATTCAGGAAGATATATAGCAGACTTGACTACTATAGTTTCTTATCGGTCTTCGTCCGGAGTTTCAAACAAAGGCATTAGCCTCCTTTGAATAAAATAAAAAAGTTTTCTTTGATATTATGCGTGTCAAATTTTCCTTGTCGCTGGCGGAAGGCCGGCCAAGAAGCCCCTCCCCCTGCCGGTTCTGTTGTGGGACAACGCCGCCCGCCGTCAACGACGTCGTCTCCAAACCCAAAGTGGGGAAAGGTGCCACATCAAAGCAACAAGAGAGTCAAGCCTACGGTCTGGCGCGTGATAGGAATCTCACGCATCGTAGTACTCGAGCTTCTCTACGAACGAACTAAGGAATGCGATAAAGAGAACTAATTTACTACTAATTTTAGACATTATTGATCGAATGAATAAAACGAAGAGCAAAGGTACATATTTATAGGACAAGTCCCACAAACCCCTTTCCTCTTAAGACAAGGAAACCCAATCCCAAACCAACTAGTAAACGATTACTTCCTAGACAAGACATAATAAAATAATATGAATAAGCAAATTATAACGGAATATTCCTAACGAAGTAACGATAATTAATACAAAAGAATAATAATAATAATACCAATAATCCTAGGTGCCGACAGAATTAGAATGCACCAAACACCCCTTCTTTAAACAACCTCGTCCCCGAGGTTGCATTCATTCTCCACTTTTCCACCACCTTCCTCCTTGAAGTCGCTGATCATGACGAAAACATTAGCGTTGGCGCAGCGATGCCCATACGTGAACCTTTTGTCCCAGTTGTAGCACAATTTGTCGCGACAGCGTCTAGCAGCTTCCTCCGGTGACAAGTTGCAGATAATGTGCCTTGGTGGAGGCGGTGGAGCTCGCTTGGGTGATATGATCTCATTTGGATCCATCTCAAGTTCCGAATTGATCGACAAAGAACTCCATTCATTTCATTAGAACAACTATGAGGTTTGTATAAGTGTTCTAACTATTGCAGGAAGCCAACTTTGCAAGCCTCGTCGACAGGAATGGATTGATGAAAATGGGGGATTTAAAGCTTGTTCGCAAGAAGAAGTGATTGTGAATACATTGGCAAGCTTGTATGCTCAAGGAGAAGGCAGGAGGGTCAATTTCCAAGCTTCCCAAAATCGTTCCTCAATACAGGGAAACTGTATGAAATTAACTAAGTGTCAGAATCAATTTAGGTACCCCACTTTGGAGGCCTCTTCAAGGGTGATGGAGGAGAATATACACAAGGGGGCTATACCCCATGAAACTAGGGGATTTCTTCTGCTACCCCAGGGCATTGGATGATCGAAACAAAGCTAGGAGGATTTCAAACGAAAGCCAGCAAGATCGTTGGGAGCCTGAAGAAACTGCCTTGCTAAAATAGGAATTCGAATCCTATTCGGATTAGGATTACAACTAGAACTTTTTACCTTTTCTGTTTTGAGTTTGATTTCTGAGTTTGTTTAGGATTAGCTCATTAGTATTAGTTCGTTAGCTAGCCTAGGTCTATTTAAGGTCTTTCAATTTCATGGTAAACACAGTTTTTGATTAATACGAACACAAAGTTGAGCTTTGGTTCATCGAGCTAGTTGCTTGACGAATTGAACGGATTGCATGGTGGATCCTGAGCAATCAACAGCTTGTATCGATCTGTTCTCCACCCTGGTCGTGGCCAAACATCGACCATACTTTTCGAGCCTTCACCCTAGTGTACGATTGCACGAAAAGTTCCATAAAAAACCCATCCAAGGTTACCCTGTTTCTGTTCGAAGAAAAGTTGATCTTCAACTCAACTCTTGGCCGCGCACCTTTGATCCAGGATTTCCCATCTAGGGCTCATCACCGGGATTGGCGCTGCAGGTGGAGCAGCTGGCGGTGGCGCCATTATCTCGGAGGCAGTGGTGGAGGCTTGCGGCACGCTCCTCATTGCTCTTTTCTCTAGTCGCAGATCCTCTTCGTGTATATTCGCCAGTCGATACACCTCTCGAGTTCATGAGGAGTTGAAAGTTCGAATATAGGCGAATATTTCTGGCTTTAACCCGCCCATGTGTGATCCCATAATCGCAACCTCGGTCCAATCGAGACAGCTATTTAGCAACTTTTCAAAAGTTTGTTGGTACTCGTCGACGGATCCTGTTTGACGAATTTTGGCCAGCGCCTCATGTTCGGACGACTTCTCCGACGACCCGTACCTCCTTCATAGCTCAGTGCACAGATTGCCCCAAGTCATGACTACTCCACGCTTCGCGAACTCCTCCTCTAGCAACATAATCCATTGGTTCGCGTCACCATCCATATGATAAGTAGCCAGCGATACTTTCTGCTCCTCCTGAATGCACTGGTAACATAAGTACTTTTCCACGCGCGAGACCCATCTAGATGGATTCTCTTGCCCAGTAAACTTTGAAAACTCGAGTGACGCAATTCGAGCCTTGAACATGGCTTGACCCGACTCATCGAATTGACCCATGTGACCAATGGGTTGGGTGAATCCAATCGGTCCACCCATGTATGGTCCAACTAGTTCGCGGCCTGACGGTGGTCCGCCCCTGCTCTGCTGCTCCATCCCAGGAAGGGTCTCGGTCCGCCCCAACTGTCTCCTCCTCCAATCGCGGCCCACGGAGCCCCTTGGCCGTTGTTGAGCCCACTATTGGCGAAGCTTGGGCTGCCAAGGTGAAAGTTCGGCCCAGTCCCGCTCGTCCCTCCTCTAGTTGCGGCCCATGACGCATTCGGTCCGGCTCCCATCTCCATCCATGCCCTAGTCACGTGGCCCACCATCCCTGGCGGTAGCCCAACTCGCAGTCAGTGGTTGAAGAAACCCGGCTCGCTAGGGTTGGGAGGAACATGCCCAACGAAGCTCGGCCTGTTCACATCGCTGTCTGCTTTCCCGGTCCACTACCCCGTGAGGCCTGGTCCGCCTACTCCAACTCCTGGGCCAGTTGGCCCAACTCCCTCAATCGTCCCTGGCCCGACCCCGTAGAGTAAGGCCCAGTGAGCCCACGCATGCTCGGGCTTAACCCGCATATCAGACCTGCGTTCCCATGACCGGTCGACTCGATAGTAGGCCTGGTCAGCTGCCTTCCTCCGTGCGCGGTAGCTTGCTCTTCCTCGCTGTCGACGGCGAGGTTGCCCCAGCCTGCTTTGACGGGAATCCCGCGTTCGATCCCACAGCCGCGCGCCCCGTCCCGGCGCATCTCCCCGCCGCGTCTCACGTCCTCGGTGGAAGCTTCATTTGTCCCGGCAAGCGTCTTCCCCGACATCGGTGTCACGTTCCAGCTCGTAGGAGAGAGAGCTTCCTCACCGACGACTCCCTTTAGTTTCTCCACCAGAGGGATCTGGTGGGTGCGTCCTCCCTTCTCCGCGCCGCGGTTGAGCTCCTTCTGCGGCTCGATGTCCTTCTTCTCCCATCTTGGATCGCGGAGGATTGCCTAGTTCGCGCTGACGTCATTTGCCAGTCGGCTTTGCTTGACGCGATCAACGTTGACCTCCTCCGATAGGTGATCTTGCCCATCTTGTAGTTTCTCTTGGCCTCACTGCAACTGCCCAACGTCGACGCGTAGATGCTCCAGACCGGCTTCATGTTCGCGGTTGATGACGTCTTGAGTTTCCATCCTAGCCGAGATCGGCTGTTGATGACCGTGGAGGGCTTGGAGTTTATGCCCTAACTCCTCGTCGCCGGTGGCTTCCACGAATGAAGAGTGCGTTGTCGTCTTGTGAGGCGGCATGGTCTCCTGGCTTAGTTCACTCGGAACCAGGCTCTAATACGAAATGGCGCGTGATAGGAATCTCACACGTCCTAGTACTCGAGCTTCTCTACGAACGAACTAAGGAATGCGATAAAGAGAACTAACTTACTACTAATACTAGACTTTATTGATCGAATGAATAAACGAAGAGCAAAGGTACATATTTATAGGACAAGTCCCACAAACCCCTTTCCCCTTAAGACAAGGAAACTCAATCGCAAACCAACTAGTAAACGATTACTTCCTAGACAAGACATAATAAAATAATACGAATAAGCAAATAATAACAAAACATTCCTAACGATAATTAATACGAAAGACTAATAATAATAATACCAATAATTCTAGGTGGCCGGCGGAATTATAATGCACCACGGTCACAGCTTTCTCGGAGGTTACCGCGTTAGACGAAATTCTGGAGGATGCGGAGCCCGTCGCCGGAGCTGAGACG